TACATGGAGTGAATGCGGTTTAAAAAGAGTAAACAAACGGGTCTGAAGCATTCGCTCGTTGATTTCATAGGATTGATAAGCGTAGGTTATGACGCATAGGGCATTTTTTTTTTGCGGTAGTCTTTATTAGCAAAGTCCTGTTAACTGAAGGGGCTGGCGTAAACACATTATACATGTATGAGGGTGGCAAAGAAAGGGAGGGATGCATACCTCCAGTACCCCTCCCCTAGCCCCGCCACTTCACGAGGTATAGAAGTTTGCCTTTCCCTGACGGGCGGAGTATACGCAAATTGAACCATTAACCTAATTGCTTTAGGTCGAAAAGGAAGATCTCGTACTGTTTGACTTCCTGTGACATTTTGCATCTCGTAATTGTTCATGCATATAGGTATTCTGAAACCAATTTTTTGCACGTACAGTACCATGTCTCTGTCTTTATCTTTAGAAGAAAAAAAAAGGGGGGGGGGGGGTGGTACGTTTGGACTTCGTTACACAAATAGTTCGTGACTGCCGGAGGAATTAAGCATGGAATTACCGTGAATAAGAATAAAGGACGTAGGATAGGGTAAACATATTTGAGTTAGCATTGGTAACAATTTTGTTCTACAACCGACCATACCTCATTAAAAAAAATCTTTTCATTAGTCTTATCACCAAAAATGCGTAAGTATATTCCTTATGTCTATTATCTTTATAATCAGGTGCAACCCTTTGCGCTAATAAATCAAATTTGTATACAGTTGTTTTTCAGTGCAATTTAGGCAAAGATAACGACTAATTAAGGATATGCGGTCTTTTTGAAACTATTTTCAAATGTATTTATTATCACTTATTTATTTAAAAGAAAAAAAAATTATGCCTAAGAATTCTCTCTTTTAAGTAGCATCATGGATCAAACTATACAATCTGGAACATTCAATCTGGGATTATAGTTCCATGCGCTGAAATAAAATTATTGTTTCATCCCGCTCACAATACTTCCATTATAAATATTAAAAACCCATTTTGTATCTCTCTTTCTTACCTTTGTCTCTTTCCTCTTATCCTTTTCTTTACTCCCCCTCCATTCTTCCCCCTCTCCCCTTATTATCATTAAAACTCCTAATACTTCCGTTTAATTTTAAACAAAGTCGTCAAATTTTTATCTCTCTTTCTTACTTTTCTCTCTTCACTCTTATCCTTTTCTTTACTCCCCCTCTATCCTTTCCCCTTTCATATTATAATAATAATACCAGAACCCAATACTTCCATTTAATCAAAAGTCGTCCCATTTTCACCTCTCTTACTTTTATCTCTTCACACTATCTTCTTCTTTACACCCCTCTATTCTTCTCCCTCTCCTATAATTATCATTAAACTCCCGATACTTTCGTTTAATAAAAACTCGTCTCATATTTAGCTTTTTTCTTCTCTTTTCTCTCACCACTCCTGTCTTTTGTCTCACTTCCTCTCTATTCTTCCCTATCTCATCTAATTATCATTCCAACTTCAAATACTTCCATTTAATCAAAACTCAACCGCCTTTTATCTCCCTTTCTTGAAGTGGCTTTACGTGATGCAGCTTACGTGTAAGAACATTTTAAACCAACTATGATGGGTGCTTTGGGATGGCGGCAAAGTAGAAGATCAAATTTCATGTATACCGGCAGATGAAGTCAATACTTAATGGGCAGCTGTAAGATGTATGCCCACTTGAAAAGGGTCAGATTATTATCGCACCTCAACCTCATTATATATCTTACGATTGCCGTCAAACTATATTTCTTACCAAAATACAAGAATACTAAGGCATTTGAAGAGCTATGCTTTTCAGGGAACATTTTTTATCTGATGTTCTTCCACACGTGTATAATACAATGATAACGCTCACAAATTATTTCACCTCTTCCCAGAACTCAACTTTCTCTTTAAGGAATGGGCATCACTCGAAGGGACGTCAAGTTATGCTCACATCTCAATCTTAAATGTATCTTACTCTTCCCAGCAAACTGATAAACTATATCGCTCTTAAAAAAACAAAAAACAAAACAAGAACACATTGTTGGAAAGCAGGCTCAATTCATCATGTTCGTACAGGCTGTATGATGTACATAAGGCTCCTGTTAAATGGCGGGTGAACCATAGTCGTCACATGATAGGGGTGTCGAGAAAATATGACCGTAGCCAACATTTCTGTCAGCAAATACATTTTTATGTTGTCGGTAAACGGAAAGAGGATTGTGTGCCCCTTAAATTTGCTGTTTCAAAATTCGCTGGATGAAACTTTTGGCGTCACTGAAGAGGGCTTTTGCTATAGCGATATGTGAATGCCCGCCCACTCAAGTTTTATTTCAGCAAATGATAATCTTTTGAAAACGATCTATCAGGGTTGCATAGCTATGTACTGTACTTCTGCCATTCCTCTGTCACACTCCCTCTGTTTGTCTGTATGTCGGTCTGTCTGTCTCTGTCTCTCTGTCTCTCTGTCTCTCTCTCATGAGATGATCGATCAACAGCAAATCTTATGCTCTCCTGGTTTATAACAAAAACTGTTCCTTAAAGGTACTATGTCCAATTTGCAGGCCAAAAAAATGAAAAGTTAAATTTCAACGGCATTTGAAAGATAATACTAATTTAGAACTTCCCTAAAAAAAGGGGGGCTTGAAAATGTCTTTAAGTAAGAAAATAACGACTATTAGTTGTCAAATCGACTTAGGAGCTATAGAGCCAATAAGTAATAGTCTTGATTTTCAGACCATTGTACCGAATTGTCGTACGTTTTATGCTGCGCAAAGAGTCAATCAGTTTAATTTTGGAAGAAGTGGGTTATTGATGTAGACAAATGCTTATGTACCATTACAGCTCACTTTATGTATGTTATTACCAAAGAATAAATAAAGCCAGTCAGTCAATCAATAGTGTCTGACAGAAGTCTAGCAAGTAAACGGGTTTCCTTGCATAATTTGAATATTAGGACATTGCTAACGTTTAAATTCAACAGATAGGACATACATGACATATTCATAATTCCTGCAAAGTTCTACAGAATTTGAGGTTGGCTGCAAAAGGGACATAGTATCTTTAACTACCACAATTCCCGACGTGAAAAAGTTTACCCCGTCCTTGTTCCCAAGCTGTAGATCACATTCTGATCAGATCCTTCTTTAGAATGTCATTTCAAAAGCAGGTGTCGTCCCTGAACTTCCTTCTTAAATGATACATGTATGTCTTTGACATGAAGATAGCTCGCCTGCGGTATGAAGATAAAAATCCATCAAATATAATAAAGTTTCATTAACTTTCTATACATTGAAGACTGGGAGGAATACGGGAAGCAAAACTTCTTCAAGTTTTAATATCAATTACTCAGATATTACACTACTCAAGTACAGGCGCGTACGCAGGATTTTTTTCAAGGGGGGGGGGGGTTAACATTTATAGATCGGGCCGAAAATTTCGCAACGACTCAGCCAGCCGCTGAATAAGCGGGGAGGGGGGGGGGGGGGGGGATAAGAGGACACTTTTTTTTTTTTGGTCCCCCAAAAAAATCGCATCGACTCAGCCAACCGCTGAATAAGCGGGGGGGGGGGGGGGGGGAGGCCCAAACACCCCACCCCCCTGTGTACGCGCCTGCTCAAGTATCACAAAAGAAGAGCACTCTTTTGTGTAACTAATTAATCTTATACATGTATATCGCTCAGTCAGAGAGCCTACAAGTACAACGTCAATGTTTGTCTTTTTATAAAACACAAACTGTCCTGTAGCAAGCCACATATCAATGTTTCAAATGTCATCAACTTTACAAACTAGTGGTGTGAAAAGGAAGATGATTTATCTCACCGCGATAATTTTGCATGTCGTGTTCCCCGCGCGCCGCAGGACACATTTCGTTTCAGCGGCTTGTGCGGTTATTGGCCAGAGACCAAGGGGAAGCCATAGGAGACGAGTGGGGGGAAGCGCAGGTGTTCGAAGACGTGCACGCGGTTTTTTTTTTAACCACGTTGCAATCGTCAACTTGTCTTTCCTTGGACGTGTCCTTTACGAAGTCCTTTATTCTTTTCTTTAACCTGGTTTGAAATATCTCACTTACTTTAATACGACTAACGTACAATCACAGCGATTTTTTTTGGAAAAAGAAAACAACAAATAGGATGAAGAGCGAGAGAAAGAGCAAACGAGAGATATACAAAATGCTTAGGGAAAATCTTGCAAGTTTATCTGCTGTTCACATTTTTGTTCCCTAAGTCCCCCATCACGTTCAATCTCTAGCTTAAAATGGCGGTCTCCTCCATTTTTCAATTTTGAATTTTGAAGGAATAATTATTTAATGATGTTATTTTATTCATTATGATATGATGTTATATCTATCTATTTCAACTTTCGGAACTTTCGTTAATAATGTACATAATATGTACCTAGTTTCTTTTTATTACTTTCTACTGTGTTGAAAAATGCACGCCTACACACGCACACACACAAAGCTAGATTTCTATGCAGCCATTGAAACAGGGCTGACCAGATAAACGTATTAAAAAAAATACGTAGTTGTAAACCATCTGGAGACTCCTAATAAATTGCGATACTGGTTAATGAGTTATACTCTCTACTCTTACAATTTTGTCCAGTTTTCTTTACTGATAACTTATTTTTCTTATATCTATATTTTTGTTATATCTGCACTGCACCTCAATAGTACGACAATACACCTGACGGTGGCCTGTACTGCTACTGAAGAAGAAGATTATGGTGTATATATTCAGGACTGAATGAGCACTATACAACTACTACCAACAACAACAACAACACACACCCACACACTTTCTTTCACTCGATCTCTCGTATTCTCTCATACCCCTTCCACTCAATACATCGGGCTCTTCAAGGTTTCTTTTCTTTCTATTCTCTTTCTCTGGATAGGATTAGGGAAATAAATAAGAAAAACCGTTCATGCGTTTAGGGTGGGACTATGATTGGCAAAAGGATTCAACTCGGTCAGCCGTACCACAACTAAATAAAAATTACGCCTGCGTAATAGAAAGGAGCTTAACGTTGTAAAATAGTTTCTCCGCCCGAATAAGTTTTCTTTTGCTGTATCACAGTAGCTTCACTTTCCCCAATATCATCGCTGTGTGTGACTTACTTTCATGGAATATCACGTAAATTCGGAAGAGCACTGGATACTGTGAACTAGGGTGAGTGAACATTTTTGTTACACAATGAATATTTCTTAAACCTGTATCAAAGATATGATGTATAGGCCAAGTAAAGTTAATCTATCTTCACCATATCAGAGACTACCCAACGTGACGAGGGGCAAATAAGCTATAAGCTTTACGTCTCTACACCCAAGTAAGTCCAAGTAAGTAAGTAATCTAAATGGTAGGTCTACACCTGATAGTAAATGTCTATTGTAAAAAACTGATTTTTCTGCTTCTATTGTAAGTAAGGTATTTTTGGAGTGGAATTGCTGAGAAGCCTGTGGAATTATGGCTGAGGAGACTGAGGAATACCAATTTAATAGAATTTATGAAAAACTAGTACTATATAGGAGGTATATAATTATATATGGCATTGTGTGAGGTAATCACGATATATATACATGTATAGATATATACATATAATGGCATGTTCTAGTAAATACATCGCCGGACTGTGACATGGTTCACGGTTCGAGTCCCGTTAGGGGAACTAATGACTTTTCGAAAGACATTAATCTACATTTCTCACTCTCTACCCAGGCGTAATGAATTGTTACCTGGTAGAAATATACTCTTTGAATGACATGATCGCCTAAGGGCAGCAAGGCTAAAGCAGGGATGTTAATAGTTCTTTGTAAACATGGGTGTCTTTCATAAAGATCCTATGCTGAACTTATCTCTAAGTTAGACTTTAAAATTATAGAAAGGCGTTAGCATCTTTTGAAATATGTTGTAAAACTTATTTTAAAAGGCATAAAATGTGGATTCAAATCATCCATATTTTTTTTTTAAACGAGGAGATTACACGTTCTTGGTGTGGAATTTATGAAATATCTAAAATACTTGAATTTTTGCTTAATACATTTTATTTTAAGGCTACAAATGGCTCTCCATAATGTTTAAGTTCAACTTAGAGTTAAGTTCGACCTAGGATCTTTGTGAAACACCACATGGCCTTGTGCATCCCCTTGTGACGGATATGTGTGGATTATAAAAATAACTATTATTATCATCATCATTGTTAAAGGTTGTACGAACTCGACAATGGCTACGGGGATGACAATCTCTCGTGATCAGAACGAGGATGGTGACGTGTTCATAAACGACGAAGAGGGCGTGCTCACGGCGATAGGGAAAAAACTATTCGAGGCCATCAATGAGGGCGACCTCATAAAGGTATATATAAAAACGATAACAATAATTGAACTAATTATTGCTATACGTAAAGGAAAAACTGCATGTTCATCTTAAAAAATGGAAACCCATAGTGTAGTTTAAAAGGTCGTACTCATTTTCATTTGCCTTCATCCTTCATCTATTTACATGTATGTTCACATTTATGATTCTGACTTATGTACTATTATTATATGGAAGTTATTAATTTGTAAAACGCCTATGAAAGTATTTTTGTTTTTTCCTTGTTGACATGAAGAAGCAATAACAGTTTTAAACGTTAAAATGACCATATCATGGTATGACGTGGTTCGATTTGATTAATTTGAATTGATATAGTTTATTACTAAACATATTGAATCAGCAGCTACAAGGCTGTAATTTAAGAGTACGGAGTAATGAAAAGGAAAAAGGGAAAGACGGACCTGAGAGAGTATAGATACAAGGAAAAAAAAGAAGAGAAATATAAAGAAAAAATGATTAAATATGTAGAACATTTGCACAAAAGTATGGTGATTTGATCAAATTGGAAATTGAAGAAGGGCAATTCTATAACTACTTTGTGTTACAAGTTACCGACCACGCCTATGATTATATGATAAATTACCCGTTCGTTGTTATTGAATTAAAGATAAACTTGAGTCCTGGTAATAAAAGAAAATAAATTCTATCAGAATCCAACAAAGCTTACACTGAAGGTTCAAGATTACAAGTCAAACATCTGACAACTATTTTGGTAGAAAATGTATATGGGCTGAGTAATGAGCATAGAAAGATAAGGAAATCAAGGTAAGTAGGCCCGACACCATGTGCTTAACACATGTCACTACATGTACATGTATGTGCAAATGAAAGTTATGCTGTTTATTGAAGATGATTTCCAGCAAGTTTTCTTTTTGTTTTAAATTTACTGGTTGAAGTATGAAGTATAATGACACAGTTGACGTCTATTCTTGTTCAGGCTCCCTACACAATGGTTTTGAGACACAATATGACTAAACACCTTGACCCCTTGAACCCTACACTGAACACTTCTTCTTTAACCTTGATGATTGCTGCATTTAAGTAATGTTGGAAGATGATACATTACATTTTTGGAAACTGGTATTTTCAAAACTTTTTTCTTGATATGGCATAACTTTTTTGTAATAACTTGTCATGCATGTGATGTGTACAGTGTGTAGAATGAAAATCAGGTATTCGATACAGTACGATATAGTATTATCATTATTACGTAAACGGTTGTGTAGAATAGTTTTTTTTTTTAAAGTGAATAACGAAACACAATATTGTTTCTTACTTTCTTTCTTAGATTCTGCGAATTCTGTGAATGACTATTCTCATGGTTTCTGTTACATTACTCTCATTTTGTTTAGGTCGACGTTTTATTGCGAGGAATATCAGCTAACTCGTCTAACTTGGACATTAGGGACAAAGATGGCACGAACACCTACTCTCACGCAATCAGCAAAGGATTTTCACGTAAGACATTATAATTTTGATTTTTTTTTTTTTTTTTTTTTTTTAAATTTGTTTTTAAAAATAAATTTCAGTACTTAAAGATAGAGTTGATGCTGGTCGTGCGATTGCATTGTCAATCCCAATGATTGTGAAAATAACTGTTGGAAAGTGATTTAGGAAAAGGTGGATTAGGTAGCACAAATATGTCGGTGTTTACTGTGAGCTTTTGTATATGTGCCGTGATCTGCATCCATGAACGGATTCCCCTATTCTTCCGACCTTCATTTATTACTGATCACCACAATCTTAAGAGAGGGTTATTATCCCGCATTCTGGATAATAGTATTCACTATGTCTACTCAAGCCAGTGGCTAAAGTTGTGTTTTTGTGCTTTCTTTGCAAAGTCTGCAAGGTCCGTGATTTTTTTGGAAAAGTAAAGTACTATTCACATGTACATGATCGAGGTGTGTGTGCGTGTGTGTGGGGTTGGTACTGAGGACAACAATAAGAACTATACCCTTAGAATGTGCACTGTAACGACCACCAATCGGTTCGATAACCCTAGAATTCGTTCAAAATTTGAGGCCACTTCATGAATTGTTACGTGTATTTAGGTGCTCTAACTGCAAGGTAAAATAGGTCCTCGGTTATGCAGTAAATTTTCTACTAAATGTCCTCGCATATGGAATAACATACTGATATGTATTATAATGGCCAAAATAATAAAAATAATAATGATAATAGCAATAACATTGATAATATCGAAAATAATATCGCTAGTGATATTTGTTTGTGTTGCAATGTATGGTAAACAAAGGTCTAAGAGATGACGACTTTTCGTGCGCCGCTGCAACACTTCGTCAGGTGATAAAATATATTAAAAGCAAGCGTCTTTTATACAGGTGGACCGGCGGTGAAAACAGTAATAATTGTGATAAAATCTCGAACCTGTCTATCTTAATACCGCTCGTTCAATGTTGATGCCAGTTCACTGCACATTGGCACTATGAGATATGAGATAACACACTTTGGCGGATCGGGGAGGGAATGGGGGGGGGGGGGGGTTAGAAAAACTAAATGTAGCAAATGAAAGAAAATCCGTCGTTCCGTTTTGGCTTGTCAAACGTTTTTTGAACTAACAATGCTATTGAAAACAAATTGTCTCATACTCTATATCTGTTTAATTCAATAAATTGTTGTCTCAAACCGATGAACAACACCTCTGCTCTCCCCTAGAGAGATCCGTAATAGGAGATCAATCGAAGTGTCCGGAAAAATAATCTAAAACTGTTCTCTTTCATTTGTGTACATTTTGTATGTTCTGCCTCACTCCTGACGTTCTCTTGTCTACAATGCAGACGCCTTTATTAAAAGTGATTTTATCTTTTGTACTAGTGCGCCTGGACTTGGAGCCTAAATCTTCTTATACTATCATCATTATAATTATTATTATTATCATTATTATTATTAATGTTTTCGTTATTATCATATTATTTTGTTATTATTATCATCACTATTGTTATAATTATTACGGTTGTCATAACCATCATTATCATTTATTCCTCCAGCTATTGTTGAGACATTGCTCCAGTACAACGTCCCTCTCGGTGACGCCCTCCTCAGGGCATGCGCCGCATCTTACGAAGACGCCATGAAGATCATCATCAAACACACCAAGAAACTATCCAATGAGGTGAGAGACAAAAGAGGGCACACCTTTTCAAGGTGGGAGTAATCCAATGTTCCTCAACCCCGACCCTCGTCAACTATTTTTTTCCCCTTCAAATTTCATGATTTTTCAAGTTTCATTTTTTTTAAAGAGTTCCCAAAGGACAGGCAACATTTGTGAGAAGATATTTAAAGGATGAAATCGGAGACAGCAATATAAAGAGCATGGTTCCTTATTCGATTTGCATCTTCAGAATACACTGAAAAAAGACGAGATTACCGACCTTGTTTAAGAGTTTTTGAACGGAAAGAGAGAGGAAGAGAATAAGAGAGAGAGAGAGAGAGAGAGAGAGAAGAGAAGGAAAGAGAGAGAGAGAGATAGAGAAAACGGGATGGGGAAGGTGGAGAAAGGGGGATAGAATAAGCTATTACTTAACAGTGATGGTAAATTACGAATTGATTGAATTTAGGAGAGACAATGCGTTATTAAATGCCTCTGTGATAATGATTACTAACATGAAGAAGGAAGAGAGAGAGAGAGAGAGAGGGAGAAATGAGATAAAAGACAGAGAGAGAGAGAGAGAGAGAGAGAGAGGGGGGGGGGGGGGGGGGGGGGGGGGGGGGGAGGGAGGGAGAGAAAGGGAGGGAGGGAGGGGAGGGAGTGGATGAGTGTTTATGTGTTACTTCACAGTCATGGCTAAGTTCTAAACAAAAAAAGCCGGTTTTATTGATTTTATAGGAGAGACAAGCTGTTATTGAATGCCGCTGTGATAATGATGACTTTCATGAAAAAATGACCCCGCTCAAGATGGCTGCCATTCGAAACAATTTCATCATTGTTCAGGTAAATTAAACATCTACATAAACAAAACAAAATTCTAATGTTTTGTATCCCTTTCGCGACAATCATTCCACATTTGTATGGTTTGGCTCAAAAACATTTGATTCAGAGCCCTAAAGTATATGCCAGATCAGGCGCGTACACGGGGGGGGGGGGGGGGGGGGGGGGGGGGGGGGGGTACCCCCCCCCTCTTTGGTATTTTTCTGTGTGTAAACCCCCCCCCCCATAACCCCCCTAAAACCCCTCCCTTTGTTTTTGTTTTTTTATTAAAAAAAAAAATATCCCCATGGCTGAACTAAAAAAGCTGACCTTACCCCCCCCCAACGGAGTAAAATGTCAATTTTTCAAATTTCGAGACCCCCCCCCAAAAAAAAGTGTCTTCTAACCCCCCCCCCCCCCCCCCCCCCGCTTAAGCGGTCGGCTGAGTCGTTGCGAAATTTTCGGCCCGATTTACAAATGTTAAAAACCCCCCTCCCCCTTGAAAAAATCCTGCGTACGCGCCTGTGCCAGATGCATGAGAAGAAAGAGCAAACATTACAGCACACACTGCACCCGTTTCCGGTCCATGACTAGATAGCGTTTGATGTCAGGATATTTTACAAGGAAAATAAGCCTTAAAATCCTCAAATTGTTTACACATTGAGAGACTAAAATCATTTTTTAAGAAAACACAAAGCATTAAAGGTAAAGACTAGTTTTGAAAACGCCCCCCTCTCAAAATATGAAATGGAAGCTCTTGTTACCAATCATGTGAAAGAATATGTTTCGACTAATACGTGATGATACAAATTTTGCCGAGAAAACCGCCTACTAATTGATATATTTGGTAAATTATTATATCTATTTGGACCTGATATATATTTGGTAAATTTTTATATTAGATAGCTTAGACAGATACCGAGATGTGATTGGTCCAGAGCTCGTCACGTGATATCAATTGTGAGGATCCAAATTGTTATATTTTCCTGGCCGGTCACTTTTCGGTGTTATATTAACCAGCTGGTGAAATTAATATATTTTTGATCAATGCATGTCGCCCTCTTGAGGACTGTATGTCACCAATTACACACATTACACCATTACCGAGGGTCATTTAATTTTTTCAATATTTTTTTTTTCATGAATTTTTTTTTCCCTTGAAATTATTTTTTCCACATTTTCTTTTTTCCCGAAAAATGCTTTTTTGGCAAGAATTTTTTTTTTTTTTTTCGATTTTTTTTCGATTTTTTTTTTCCCCAAAATTGTTTTATAATATTTTTTTTGTAAGGTTTTTTTTTCTTTCTTGAACTATCTCGACAGATTATTTTTCAGAATTTCCGAAAAAAAAAGGGAATTTTTTTTTGGGCAAACAATTTTTGGACCCCCCCCACAAAAAAGGGCTATCTAATATAACAGTTATTGACTGGCAGGGGGTATATAACATTCTTTGGACCTGAAGGGAGTTATATTTCCCCTCGCGACCATATTTTCCCTCAGCGCTGCGCGCTTCGGGAAAATATAACCACTTGGGAAATATAACTCCCTTCAGCGGTCCAAATAATGTTATATTACACCCCCTGCCAGTCAATAACTGTATAATATCTATTTGGACCTGATATATATCACGCACATGTCGCGTAGTCCCATATACATCTTTCTGTGTACAGTGCTCGTAACTTTACCAAGACTGGGCCAAATTTCTTATCATTTTGATGATTCCATATCCTTGCAGTACACACCAATAATTATGCTAGATGATCAACCTTTTCTGATCGATTCCACAATGCAACCACATGACCAGAACTGGTCTTTATCTTGACAAAACAAATTTTACATGTTATATTCGATGTTTTCAATCTTTTCATTTGTGTTAACTACCACAATTAGGCTTTCAGCCGCGAAGGATTTGTATCTCCCAACATTTGTGTTTATTGTTTTTGATTGATGTATTCATATTACATTGCTTGATCATAATTCTACGGCATAGAGTATGATTAGATTTCCTTAAATTGATAACCTTATTCACCCTATCCCGTCATAGCTATGTCAGATTTTATGGATTTTGGTCTTATTTTTGGCAAAGCGCTCATTATTAAAAAAAAAAAATGGACTAACTGGTAGATACAAACAAGTAACAAGTATTTTCACGGGTAAAATTTGATTTCTTCACAGCGCTTAATTTGTAACGCATATTTAGTAAATATCCCCACCTCGCCCCAATGCACCCAATGTGGCGCGAAGGTCTCCACAATATTCAGATCACCCAATTTGTTTCCATTTTTACAAGAAATTACCCTTGTTGCCCTTTCTCGCTATATTTCTAGTATTTACTCAAAGCAGGAGCGGAGAGGATTCGAGAACCAAAGCTTGAAGGGCTATCCGAGGCCTCGCTGTCTGAGGTTGTCGAGTACCTAGATATTTACAGGTAAACGAGGGTCCTATTTCATACACCTTGTAATCATTATTAAACAAGTTACAACAAATGTTATAAGCTACTGAATTCATTGCATTAAATTGGCTGAAATTTACGAGAAGTCCAGTGAAAGCAAGTAGCCATTTGACATTCCAGTAATTCAACGCATTGCTTCATATTGTATGGATTCTTATTTTCATTCTTGAAAGGACGTCACTTCAAGCTTATGCTTTAGACGGCCCCTTTTCTGTTCTGTATTTACAGTACCAAGTCATTATCATACATTTAAACTTATAAGATTTTAGATGTTAATATGACTCGATGGACTGTAAATGTCATAAATAAACATTCAAACCAAATCAAACGCAATTTATGCAATTTGTACATGAAGCGTTATTTGCGAACGTAGGACCAGTTGGACCACATCATCAAGTTGTCTTTGACGCGACATTATGTTATGTGATACTGTCAATATACGAACATTGTTATAGATAGAATGCCCAATATTCATTCAGTTTGCAGTCGGTTTGGCGACGTGACTTGAATATATTATATATAAACGTATTCATAAATGTTATATATTGATATACTTATTGATCGTCATATTATGCAGGGCACTGTCGAGTCCGGCGTACCTCGGCTTGGCGCACCCCAACGCCCTGAGCAACGCCTTCAAACTCACCGGCCGACTGCGGAAGATTGCAGGGTTGTGGGAGGCGGTCAACAAGGAGTTCTACGACCTCGCCGACCAGGTGGAACAGTTCTGTGCATCCCTGCTCGATTACGTCGCCAACTCTGTCGAGGTAATTCACATTTCTCTATTCAGAGCTAGAATGGTGTTGACTAAGAAGTTGAAAATGACGGGAGCAGAAATACAGGTCATTCTTTAAGATAAAGTTATTAAATAGACATAGGGATAGAGCAACGTCGATCTGGCGCTGCCCAGTGGCTGCCGGGCTCACGATCAATTGGGCAAAAAGAATCTCCATTTTCGGTTTAAATAACATTTGGTGTGGACTTTAAAAGATTATTATCATTGATTTGTTTTGTCTTGTGTTTTTCGTATTACAGCTTGGAACACTTTTCAGGCAGAGTGATGACCCGGAAGTAGTCCATGTCGTCGCGCAAGTGAAGAATGCCGTCGATTTTGAACAGAAAGCAGTAAGCTATCAAATTCTTTCTCTTCCTTACAAACAAATTGGTTCTAAAACCAAGATCATTGGTAAAGCAGATTGTTGCAATTACTCTCGAGATTTCTTCAAGGTCCTAGTCATCTGACAAAAAAACTATATGATTGTAACATTTTAAAGTAACGTTATTTTCATTTGGCCCATTTAAAGTAAATCTACCTGAATTATGCCCTATTTAATAATTTACTGTTTATATTTAATTCTGTTTTTGCAATGGCATGATGTGGGTCCAGTCAATTTAGTGGGGGGGGGGGGGGGTACCATTCTTTCTCGGAAATGGAATTGACAAGGTAACATTTATTTGGGCATGGTACAGAAATGGTTCTGTCATCTCCTTTTCTCATCCTTTTACACATCCCTCTCCCCCTCTCTCATCATGACTCGATTGAAAGTTCTCATCTGCAACAGCTGCATCATCAATGGTCTCACCATCCCGTTTTGTTTTTCTTTCTCATTAGGTTATTTATCACTTTCCATGTCCCTGACATGTTTCCATTCAAATGTTTAAATCTTTTGTGTACAGTGTCCGCTTCTGAAATGCAAATTATTACCTTGAAAATACTTCCTCCCTCGTCTTTTACTTCAGTTCGTAGCACACGCATACACGCAGAAGATTATGTCGATCAACTTTTATCGGAACATCGACACTCATACGCCTTGGTTCGGATTTCTGAGTCTCCTCACCATGTTTGGATATCCTTTCATCTGTCTGGCTTACATCCTCGTACAGCACCCACGCTTAAAAAGATGGCTATCTATACCGTGAGTATTCATACATCTTTAAAGCCTTACTGCAATACTTAAAGCTACTTGCGCCCTCTGTATATCAAACAATTATCGGTGCCTGTCGGTCCCCCATGATCCTCTTTTTCTTATGTTAATTGAGAGTTTTTTTGTGTGAGACAACCATCTTTCCGTGACCATGCAGGAAGGTCTAATCACAAACTAGTGCAGACGGGCCGCTAATATTGCTCCGGTCGCCCATTCCCGCCCGTGATAGCGCTTGAAGTGGGCTCGCACGCGCGGCGGCCATTTTACACTTCCAATAGCGATACGGCTCACTATACGTTACGTACTAAAAGGCTGTATTGTCTGACCGTTCATGAATATTCATGTTTTTGTTTACCTCGGCAAAATGCTTGCCTTTACTAAATTGACAAAATTACGGTGGGGGCTGGATGAATTGGACATAATTAAATAGAACTGATCTATTATTATTCATGCTTCGTATCCTTCGTGTGCTTGACTTATAACCTTACAATCGCGTGGTAAATTGAGTCCAAAGTTCGACTTGTTGTACATGTGTTATATAGACAATGGCGAGCTTGCGACTTATTTTGATGAAATTACGGTGGGTGAACTTTCAAAAGTCAATGAGACATGAGGGTTCCAATTAAGAGCTAGTGATAACGTTCGTCGGGGTGGATGTGCTTTTCGTTAAAAAAGAAAATGAATTTGTAACGATTTTTTTGGTAAAAGTACATAGGCTAACATGTTAGACTGCTGGCTCTGACGATAGGGGCGTTGTCAATTGAGACTAAACGGAGCTATATGTTAACTCTTAACTTGCCACATTAGTCGATAAGAAAATTCATCGGAGGACACAATAGTTTCACATGCTCTCTTAGGGAAAAAAATGTGGCACAATGCTAATTTTATTTGTGGCACATAAAGTATGAAGGTCAAGAGGTTTATAATAAGGATTTTCAAGAAGACAAAAAAGATAGAAACGAAAACTCATAGATATTGTTTTGAAACTTTGGTACTGTGACACCCATGTCATATCCAAGAATCTGTAACAAAATATATTAATTAAAAAAAAAAGTGAAGAAGGGACGAAATTCCTAAAATTCTGTGACAATAACAAGAAGTGCATTTTAACGAGTGAAATTTGAATGGGGCACCGTTTTCCAGTTAAAGGGGTTGTAAACTGAAGAGACTACGTGTTTTTCCTGTGGCCTGACTCGGGGCCAATCGGGTATACGGACGACGCGACCGCAGCAATCACGTGCGTGCAACATACGCGAAACCGAAGCGTGAGGAGAACTTGGGTCTGTTTCGCGAACGCCGACCATGTAGAGACTTAAAAGTCGCTGACTAAATCAAGTCCATTCGTTAAAGTGCAGTTTTCCAAAAGGAGACGTAGATGGCGTTCCCATGTATTAGTCATTTTACACCCCCTTTAAGCAATAGTGGGTAAATGTATTTTTGTGATATGTTTCTTTTCGCCCTTCAGATACATCAAGTTGTGCATTTTCTTTGGATCCGATCTTGCCATCTTTGTCTGTTATGCAGCTCTGTGTGTCGTCAATGATCCCAGAATAACTGATATCATATTGGTCTTTATAGTGATATTTTGTGTTGGTGAGTAAATCTAATCGAACCCAATTCAAACTTAAAGGTAAAGACCAGTATTGGAAACGCCCCAATTTCAAAAAATGAAATGGAAGCTCTCATTACCAATCATGTGAAAGAATATGTTTTGACTAATACATGATGATAAAAAAATTTGCCGGGAAACCGCCTACTAATTCATATATTTGGTAAATTTGTTTCTCTCATGGTCTGTGAGAGATATAGGGTAGTCCCATATACATCTTTCTGTGTATAGTGCTTGTAACTTTACGAAGAATGGGCCAAATTTCTTATCATTTTGATGATTCCAGAACCTTGCAGATGCTAGATGCTAGATGATCAACCTTTTCTGATCGATTCCACAACGTTTCTTTCACAATGCAATCGCATGACCATAACTGGTCTTTACCTTTAATCAGATCAAATTAAATTGATATAATCAAACTGAAGTAAAATAAAAACAAAATCATCGATATCCTTACGGTTTTCATTGTGATTTTTTTTTCTTCGGTGAGTAGGCCTAGACTATATCATAATTATGTCCAATTTGTTTGTTTGTTTGTTGTTTGTTTGTTTTTTTTTTTTTTTGGGGGGGGTCCAGAATTTGATGAAAATTTTTGCAACGACTCAGCCGGCCGGGGGGGGGGGGGGGCTACGAGCGCATGTTTTTATTTTTTTTGGTCCCCACATTTCAAAATCTGGCCGATTGATATTTTGTTCGGTGGGGGGGGGGTAAGGTCACAAAACACTTACAAAATAAAATGTGAGGAGGGGGGGGGGGGGGGGTTCGTCCCCAACCACCCCCTGCCCTGCGTACGCGCCTGTCAAGTACCCATATACACCTGGGCGGAGAGTGGCAATTGTGGTTTTAACGTTTTGCAAATCGACACTTTACTATTACAAGTGTGACATAAACTCTTTTTCATTTGCAGCGCTTTCTTGGAAGCACATTTGTGATATCATGGAGTATGGCATCGGGGACTTTCTCGGTTACGGAGCAAACATACTGGAGTCAATCACACTCATCATAAGCTTTGTTCTGCTTATGTGTAAATCGATTACTCTACTTCTGGTAAATGATTGTATTACTATTGTTAATTAGTAGTAGGCTAGTAGTAGTAGTAGTAGCAGCAGTAGAAGTAGTAGTAGTAGTAGTAGTAGCAGAAGCAGCAGCAGTAGTAGTAACAGTAGTAGTACAGTAATATGAATATCAGAAGTAGCAGTAATAGTAATAATTTTATTTTATTTATTTATTTATTTCTGATATTTATACAGGGTGGCACATATTACCATTTGGTGGTCTTCCATGAGGCCCTGTTTGGTAATAATAAAAAACAAATAACAGCATCAAAAACAAAATAGATAAATACACAAGCACAGGCGCGTACGCGGGGGGGGGGGGTGTTTTGGGGGGTTAACCCCCCCCCTTTGGTATTTTTATGTGTGTAAACCCCCCTAAAAAATCCCTAAAACCCCCCCCCCCTTTGTTTTGTTTTTTTGTTTTTTTTTGTTTTTTTAATTATTAAAAAAAAAAAAAAAAATACCTCCATGGCTAACCTAAGAAAGGTGACCTTACCCCCCCCCCCCCCAACGAGCAAAATGTCAAATTTTCAATTTCGAGACCAAAAAAAAAAAAAAAAATTGTCCTCTTACCCCCCCCCCCCCCCCCCCCCCCCCCCCACTGAGCGACTTTTAGGCTGGCTGAGTCGTTGCGATTTTTTTTGGACTCCCCCCCCCCAAAAAAAAAGTGTCCCGCTTACCCCCCCCCCCCCCCCCCCGGCGCGATTTTCAAATTTTCCTGAGTCGTTGCGAAATTTTGGACCCGATTTAAAACCCCCCCCCCCCTTGAAAAAATCCTGCGTACGCCACTGCACAAGCATATAAACAGGTAAAAATACAAATTAATTGGTATCCCCTTGAAATAACTGATCATTCACGAATCATCCTTGATCATTTACAAGAAATAGATGGAATTTTCAGAATGGAATTTTCAAATTAAATACAATTTTTAAAAACATTCATTTAATACCTTATAATCCTTAATAATTGGGTACACACAATGCATCCCTTACAGCATGTCTTGTGTTGTGATCATGTAGTGAACTAACATGATGTAAATCTTGTTTTAAGTATGTTGGTGCCATGTTATTCAATGATTTATACATCATCACTGCACGTCCAAACTGGAAACGTGTCTGAATAGGCATCTATCCTAAGCGACAAAACATATCATTTTATATTATTTTGAAATAATTGCAGTAGTAGTAGTAGAAGAAGAAGAAGAAGTAGTAGTAGTAGTAGTAGTAGTCGAAGTAGTAGTAGTAGTAGTAGTAGTAGTTAGAACCGTTCGGCATGTTCGGGCCTTTTTCGGAATAATGTTATATTTGTTTGGTCTGTTGTTGGTCTCGTTGGTGTATTTCATGCAGTATATTGATATTTGCCGGGGCTTTGCATTTTTTTGCAGAATCCTTTAAAAGACCTGGGGTGCGTCTCAAAGACTAAGATCGACTTGAAGTTGGACTTAACTATGGCAGGCCGTTCATGCCATTGTTTGCTCTCGCCATTGGTCTCTCAATTATGATCTGAAGATGATATTTTTTTCCTCAATAATAAACTATCAAAAAGTGTAAATTTTGTAGATTTGTGACCATGATTTGTACGTCCCTTGAGAGACCAATGCCAGTAGATGGTGAGAGAAAACAGTGGCATGAACGGCCTGCCATAGTTAAGTCCAACTCAAAATCGATCTTAGTATTTGTAAAACACTCCCCAGTAGGCTACTCCCCTGTTTTTATAACTGTTTTTTTTTAAACATGAGAAATATATAAATACATGTTGAAACTTTTCATTTCTCCACATTTAGGACGTGTACGAAACGCGTGCGATGAAACGTCACGATAAACGGGTCGCGATGGTGAACAACGTTACTGTGACGTCAGATCTGAAGCTATCCAATGTCACTGTGACCGATCGGCTTGAACAATTTGTATCGTTGGACTGGAACGATCCTCAGATCGTGTTATATGTCTTGTTAGGTGAGTAGAGGAACATGAAATAGTATATACTATGCATGATGAGTTTAATGTTACTATCCACAGTGTTTGGTGAGTATAGGAACATGAAATAGTAAACAAAAAATATACACTTCAGAGGTTCTGGTTTAAACTACGGGCAAGAGGTGACGCCAATAGTACGTTTGGAGTCGCCGAGGCCCATAGTTTTAACCAGTACCTCGAAAAGAAGGCAGGGTATCGAAAAAACCGATATCCAGTAAAAAAAATAATCATTACATTACCCCCTCCCCCTCAAACTAGTAACATTCAGCGAGCGTACGGGGTTTCAAATGCCTCCAGCGGCAAACTCCCTCGGTGTCACGGCGCTTACGCCGTGCAATTTACGCTGAGCCACAGTAAATGCACTACACTACTACTACAGTACCTGTATAGCGCTAGCTAAAAATATTTACATCCTTCAGTGTTTCTTTTGAGCCGTGAATTTTCTTTTATTTCATTTTTTAATGTGACGTGAATGTGAGTACGGTACATGTCATTACGGTCTATTAAAGGAATGATACAGGTGGAAGGGATATAAAACAAATATACAATGACTCATTCTCGGAGCAAGCTAAAACTATTCGCACTCAGGAATATCAATAGAATTACTCTCCCTCGGGCCATCTAGATCCTCGAGTGTCATTGTGCATTTGTATACTATGTATGATTAGTTTAATTGTACTATTTACCATGTTTCGAGAGTAGGTACGTGAAAATGAATATTGTACACTGTCGCTCATATAGTTGGAATATTTTTTGTTTACCCCAATTTATGGAATTATTTTGACAATGATTTATTCCTAATATATCTAGATAATAGTATACATTCTCAGATTTTTTTTTAACAATGATTTGCCAGTGTTTGTTTTGCTTTGACTGCTATATTATTATCATTATTGTTGTTGTTGTTTTTGTTGTTGTTATTGTTATTATTATAATTATCATTATTATAATCATTATATATGAGCAGGTGTTGTGGTTCTCCCCAATGCAATACGCGCTTTCACCACGGCTCTCAACTCATACCAAGACTTATACAGCATCTGGGAATCAACAGTGGGCGCTCTTAGTGATATGTTCAAGTTTGTGACTGTCTTCGCCATCTTCCATTTCGCATTCGCTGTCGGCTTGTTTGGTATTTACGTAACTCAGGTGAGAATCCCGTCACTTTCATTTCATATTACTAGCGTTTTATTGGGAGTTTTCTTTGCCTCTCTTCAGGATCGCTTGTTTGCCACGCGTGCACTTTTGCACAAAACAATAGGCACCAATGAATGAATGATTGCAACGCAAACAGGCAATGGCTTTGCAAAATTACCCATTTCACTGAGGCTCTTATTATAGCTCCATGCCGACCCTTTTAATATCGGTATGGATTAATCTGGAAGCCTTTAGCATATCCAATGATAGTAAATACAATATGGCAATGTGGCATATAGAAAGTTAAAAGAGGGGAAAGACGCAAGACAGGGGGGGGGGGGGGCAATTTCCCCCTCCTCCCAACCGAGCAAAAAATGCAGCATTTTAGTAGGGGGTAGATCAGGATATCATTGCAAGTCAATACTGTATTTCAATACAAAAATGCGCTCCAAAACGATCAAGAAGTGCCTCAAAAAAGCTAAAATCTTTGAGTGACCGGTTTTACTATACTCGTTTTCCCCCAATAGACTGTAGTGTTATGAAAACCTATAGGAAAACGCAAAATTTGATTTCAATTTCCAATCATGAATATCTTGATAATCAGACAGGCGATCGGATTGTAAAATCCATGGGGTTCCTCATTTACCTAGGGTATCCACATCAGTATTACGACTGCTCCTCATGTGGGCCCTGGACCAATTAACACCTGGATGACGAGTAGCAATTGTGGATTAATGTCTTGCCAAAATACATAAAAGCCGGACTGGGATCCGAACCCCAACCCTTAGATTGAGAGTCAAGTGAACAAACCACTGTACCATGACACCATTTTAAATTTCGTACTCTTTTCCTGCCCGAATAAGTCAATTTGGGTGATACCGCCTCCTGTAGCGCAAGTGAGGGACCTAAAAATCGATTTATTAGTACTGAAAGTATATGGATCAAGGTCAAGTGAGATGTTTGCCCACATAACGCCAATGTCTTGATACGACACTGATTCATGTTAAACATTGCACTGACGCATTTTCATTAGCGGGGTCAAAAATATATTAGTTTTGCATACTTTCAAGAACATTTTTTCTTCATGAAAACAGGTACAAAATGGGGTACAAAATGTTACCATATTTTTAGCCTGGCGAGTACACAATCAGACAAGTTCATAAGATTCATGCGTCCACAAACATCGTGAAAATATGTCCCCCTTTCATGAAATTTCATGCTTTTACACATGCGCGACCATTTCAAAGAGCGTCAACGTCCCCGAAAATCCCACTATTTTAGCAACATCCAAGAATTACCAAGATGTAAGATTATTGTCTGTATTGAAAAATGCAGAAATTCGTCCTCCACTGGCAAGTGACATATATAGACAAGCACAATATGTTCAACTTTCATCAGTAAACACAGTTAATATAAGCGATGCCTCCGGGACAACGCTAGATTTGTATTTAAAGTTAATTTGAAAAGACCTTATAATGCTTATTCTTTAATTTTTCTACAATGTATTTTTTCTTTCCTATTGATGATAGGCTAGTTAGATTGGACCAGGCTAGAGATATTTGAAAAAAAATTAAAAAATGGCTGCCTTGATTAGAGTTGACCAGTGGTTGGGCACAAGGGAAGTCGAGGAGTATACTTCACTCCTCTACAGCATTGTCAATTGGGTTCAGGAACCCGTGATACAAGGGTTTGCAATCAATTGCAAATTTAAACCCCGATTCTGTTTGAATCGTGGTCAGCCTTCTGAACAAAATGTGCACACAACTATGATCTTGATTGGCCATCGTCAGTTTTCAATCGATCGCAAACCTTTGTGTCACGGAGCCCAGATTTCTCGGCTCATACCTTCAGAATTCTTCTTCCTAGTTACCGTAATCGACAAAATAAGTGTAATAATCAATTAAATGTATAATTTTTTTACTATATTTATTTTCTTAAATGCAGAAAGAAATCTATGCAGAAGATTTGGCTGATGAGGGTTATCACAGGTATGTCAAATTATCATAATGAAATAACTTTACCTGTTTTACATTGTAAATAGTAAGATTAGATAATGTGTTGGAAAATAGACTATTTTCTGGGGGGGGGGCGGAGCAAAACGATCAGACTGAGTATGGTAAGAATGAAATAATATATAAACATTTTATTAATACATTTTATTAATACCGATGTACCTAAAACCATAGTTTTAAAGGGAAATCCAACCTTAACAGAGAGCTATTTTAAAAGAAAACAGGAAACAATCAGAGAAGCAGACTGGTGAAAGTTTGAATTAGATTTGACAGAATTTGTTTATAGAAAAAATTGTAATCACTAAGGTATGGGCACTTCAAATTGACTGAATTATGACGAAGTACCGGGCTAATATATTCCCCATTTGTTTAGACACATAACATGATAAGAACTTCAATTTTTCAACTAAATTGTATGAATCAGGAGGGTCTTTTCAGTATAGGGGACCTATAATTATATGCTACCCATATTACGCTCCAATATTGTGCTCTAAGGGAGGAGGCATTTAGAAAAGCGAAATTAATGATATTTTGTACACGACAAAATAGAGGGTTGTCCAATGACAACATCTTCATTATCCACGTAACAATTTGCTAATTTGAAATTTAGTGATCTCAAATTTTAAACATGTATAACTCCCTTATTATTGGCCCGGTTTATTTCTAATTTCGCATTTCTGTTTAGCTAATTGTTTCTGCTTCCATAACTCTCAATTCAATTCAGTACTAAGTGTCTTAATTGTGAGTTAAATTTACTAGGTCAAATTATGAATATTTATCTTTTGAGGAATAATTTTCAAAGGAAGCCTATAGCATTGTCTCCATCTTTATAATCTTGCGCCACATCAACTTTTGAACTGATTATGTCAGGTGTATTTCCAAATGTTAACAGTAGTACTTTAAAGGGCGAATTGAGTGCTTAAGTTTTTTCATTTTATGCAAATAACCATCTCTTCCCACCCGCCACTCTCTTTCTCTCTCTCTCTCCTGACTCTTTCTCTCTCCTGCTCCCTCTCTCTTTCTTCCCATCCTCTCCGTCTCCGTGTCTCGCTTTCACCCTCCCTCTGTTCTTACGTCTCTTTGCGTCGTCACCCACTTCCCCTTCTCACCCCTCTCTCTCCCTCTCTTACTCTGTCTGTTTCTCTCAATCTGTCTGTTTATCTCTCTCTTTTTTAATCTCTATCTCCCTCTCTCTCCGTCTCCCTGTCTCTCTTTCAACCTCAACTTCTGGCCCACAGCATCCCGAACGCACTGCTTACTCTCTGGTGGGTATTCAATAGTATGGGCGATAAAGCGGAGCTCAACGGTCAAGTCACATTCGTCAACGTCGTGCACATCGTGATCGTCGGCATCTACTACACCGTTGCCCTGGTCCTGATCAACACTCTGATTGCCATCCTCGCCTCCAAGTTTGAATCTATCGCGGTTCGTCGAATTTAGAACATTTCTTATTAACTCTTATCATGCCACAGGGCTAATCCCCATTGTGCCAAGTCCAATGAGCATGAACAATAACTGCTATTACGAATGCTGCATTGCACGCACATGGCACTCAATAGGTAGCTCTCTCGCATATACAAAACAGCATAGCGATAGCGTGCATGCAGCCTTATGGCAGGCTATAAGGTTAACAAAATAACACGCTCTGTGAGGGTGAAATTCCAATAATGTTAGGATGAACCCTGGTGCATTTTCATGTATATAAAGTGCTGAAGAAATTGCTACAAAGATAAACACTATTTTCTTCGTGGCACTAGAATCGCCCCAAAGTCAATAAAGAGTGCAATGTTTCCTCTTTTCTATCAATTTGGTAAAACCCAAATCTCTTGACCAGAAAAGCAATTTTGTAGACCTACATGTTTATGTTTGTGGTCATTGTCGTGTCATCAAAAAATTACGATTCCCCCCCCCCCCCGCATTTCATCGTTTATTTAGGAAAATTCGGATACCGAGTGGAAGTTTGGACGGACCAAAATGTGGCTGCGATTTATCCGAACTGATATTGCTCTACCGCCTCCATTCAACATTGTACCGACAACCGGGTTCATTATCCGACTCTTAAAGAATTGCTTTTCACTTTGTACCGCCGGATGCACCCAAACGAGCCAGAAACAGCCTGAGGTAAGATTTTTTTTTTTATTTGAAAGTAAATAAAGAATGAATTGTCCGTCTTGTTTTTTATTTTCAACTAGTGTTCATAATTTTCTCTCACTGTATGATCTAAGCAAGTAACCCAAAACATTAAACATTATAGGCACTGTAAGTTTTTATAATAAACTAGTAAAGAGCAATATTTCACTCGATTAAGATAGTAAAACTTTGAAACGCTGTTAAAAAATACTGATTTGCCCAGTCTAAACAACTGATGATTAAAATGGGCCAGACCAAATTTTCGAAAGAGGCATTTAGCCGGGAATTCCATCGTGGTAAAGACTTGCTGTTTAAATAGCCTCATAGTCGATATCAATGTAGGCATGAAAATATGTAAACTTCTGTTATGATATGAGATATCAGCCCATCATATTTGTTCAGCAACAAATCCAACAACTTAAATGAATCAAGATTTGAATCGTTATTGAAGATTGGTTATCATGATCATTGCTAAGCATGCATTATTGCTACCGAATTTATGGTAATAACTGATTCTGGGAACAGTGTGTCCAGAACAGATGTTTCATAATAAAGTGGTTGTTTAAGATATTGTTAGATCCCTTTTCATAGAAAGATCAAATCAGCCTTATCAAAATTGTGACATATGTAAGTTTTTCTTTCCTTTACCTTTTTATAGAAATCAGAAGAAAAAACTAACCACGATGGCAATGCAAGGGTATGTACCTACACTGTTGGTCACAATGGTGGAATATTTTTTTGTTATCCCATTCATTACGGTTCACACAGAGGATTTTTTTCTTTTGGGGATCGGGGGGGGGGGGGAATTCAATTAATTATTTTATTGCATTTTCTCTGTTTTTTGTATTTGTGGGGGTGGCCCCGTACCCTAGCCCCCGCTGCGTACAGTCATGATTCAGTGGCTAAGCAATGGCCTCGTTATTGTCAGGCCCCACGATCAAAACTGCGAGGATGTGCTATATTAGTGCCCTTTTGTGAAACATTAATCCTCATTACTGTCAGTTATAAGGACGTAGGTCCACAAGTTGATTAGCATAGTAGCACACATATGCTTTAGCAGTCACGCAAAACAAACACTCACAATTCATCGCCCATTCCCGCCCGTGATAACGCTTGAAGTGGGCTCGCACGCGCGGCGGCCATTTTACACTTCCAAGAGCGATACGGCTCACTATACGTTACGTACTAAAAGGCTGTATTGTCTGACCGTTCATGAATATTCACTTTTTTGCTTACCTCGGCAAAATGCTTGCCTGTACTGAATGGACAAAATTACGGTGTGGGGCTGGATGAAATGGACATAATGAACTCGACTTATAACCTTACAATCGCGTGGTAAATTAAGTCCAAAGTTCGACTTGTTGTACATGTGTTATATAGGCAATGGCGAGCTTGCGACCTATTTTGATGAAATTACGGTGGGTGAATTTTCAAAAGTCAATGAGAAATGAGGGTTCCAATGAAAGAGCTAGTGATAACGTACGTCGGGGTGGATGTACTTTTCGTTTAAACAAAAAATGAATTTTTAACGATTTTTGTGTGTAAAAGTTCATAGGCTAACATGTTAGGCTGCTGACTCTGACGATAGGGGGCGTTGTCAAATGAGACTAAACGGAGCTATATGTTCATCTTCTTGCATCGCAGCACAAAGGGTGTCATTTTGCTGACGCAGTCATTGTTTGACGCATGACTGCGTCTGCGACAGGCGCGGTAATTGACGGGCCGTGCGAGGGTGACAATGCAAAGCAAGAGGTTTATTAAGATTGGCAATACTTTGATGAATTAAGCCCAGCGAACAAAGTACGATCCAATTTGGAAGAAATCGCTATAGTATTGACATTTGAATATTTTACTTATCAAGTCATTATGATTTGGGTTCCATTCATACGAACAAGAAAATAGAATATGGGAGCATTTCAAGCTTACTTGTAGAAGAAAGAGCGAAATTGGCTCAGATCAGTCGGGCATTTGTCTACGATGTGAAGCCGATTCGGTTTTAATTCTGACTATTTTAGAGGGTTTTAAGAATTGCATTTGCATCGTTTAAATCATTATTCAGAACTAAAATCAGGAAGGTGATGTCTGTTTAGATATCCATCTCTGATGTAATTGCAATTTTTTCTCAAAATGTCGGATCGCAGCAAAATCGTACAACGTGCGCTGCATGGGCTTTACTGGCGCATGCGCCGATTGCCTTTTTCGGTTAGTTTATTATTGATAATAACGCAGTCAAAATGACGCATTGAATGCAACGGGCATTATAGAGGCCTATGTAGTCTAAGATGGAAATTAAAGATCGTAATTTGTTACCAAGGCCCCGTAAAACAAAGGTTTGCAATCAATTGCCAAACGATAATGGCCAATCAAGATCAACGTTGCATTATTGTATTTTTCAAAAGGATGACCATTAACCAATCACATTGGTCATTTCAAATCTGCAAACCTTTGTGTTACAGGGCTAGATCAAAAATACGGGCGAATACAATCTAATGTTGAATGCCATAGCACGAATGCAAACGGGGCGCTGTAAACAATTTAAATGTATAGTCATCTTTTTTGTTCCTTTGCAGAAAGTAATGAAAGAGATACTTAAGAGATACAACACGACTCAAATCGAGAAACCAGACGATGAAGAATCATTCGGCATCGATGATATTCGTCAAATCAACCAAGACTTCGTCACCGTCAAGTAGGTTTGTTTCGACGACGCCGGGAATATACCCACTGCGCCATTCTACCTTAAAGATATATCCCTTTTGCAGCCAACATCAAATTCTGTAGATCTTTGCAGGAATTAAGAATATGTCATGTATGTCCTGTGAAATCTAAACATTAGCAATGTCCTAGTATTAAAATTGTATAAAAAAAAAATATATTCACTGTCAGACACTATTGAGTGACTGACTGACATTTTTCTCCCTTTGGTAACAATATACATAAAATGAGCTGTAAGAGGAACTGTACATGAGTATTGGTCTACATCAATAACCCACTGCTTGTAATGGCCAAAATTAAACTGATTGAATCTTTGTGCAGCAAAAAAGTAAGACCATTCGGTAAAAGGGTCTGAAAATCAGACCATTACTTAGGTGATTGCAACTAGGCGTTGTGGCGTGCGCCTGTAATCCAGCTAAAAAGTGAAAGTTACAAACTGATTCAGCCGAGGACGCAGGTTCGAAACTGAGTCACGTCTTTCGGATGGTGACGTTTAAAGGTCGGTCCCAGACGTAAATAATCATATACACGTCTGTAAAAGCCCAATACACACACACACACACACACACACACGCAATCACTTAAGTCGACTTGTGCAGCAAAAAAGTAAGACCATTCGATAAAAGGGTCTGAAAATCAGACTATTACTTAGGTGATTGCAATCACTTAAGTCGATTTGACAACTAATGGACGTTATTTTCCCACTCTAAGCCGTTTTCAAGCCCTTTTGTTTTGAGGGAAGTTCTATATATAAGTATTGTCTTTCAAATGCCGTCGGAATTTAACCTTTTTATTTTGTTGGGCCTGCAAATGGGACATAGTACCTAACTCTTTAAATGCCACCCAAATAATCTTTCTGTGCCACGTATTGTGTGCCTGCTTCTAACTTGCAAGATTTTGTTCTTTTTTGTTCTTTTCCTCAAGCTAGGTTCTTATTTCCATAATGTCGATACCTATTTACATTCATTACTCAATAATTGAATGAAAACTAACATTGGCTAAAAATTGAAATATATTCAACAATTCTTCTTGCTTAGTATTATTTTTTTGCTAACACATTTATACCTTAAAAACAATCTTAGCAACGACTTGGATTTTTAAACAAAAGCATGCGCGTAAATAACAGAACCATTGACAATATTTTTAACGTAACATTTATAAATTACATATTGTGCATAATTTGAAATAATATTCATGTGATGAAATTAGACAGCGAGGTGCCCGAACATATTTTTGATCTATAATAAAGAAATTATATTTGTTATTACGCTCGCTCTACGCACTCGCAACATGTAAAAGAAGGATAATTTTAGGCAACGAGATGCCATAATATCCTCATATTCGTGTATCGAGGTGACCGAATAGATGATTTTTGTGTTCATATATATTTGGCGACGGTCTGTGGGCATACATTTTTTGATATATTATCTAGTGTATTGAAATTAAAAAAATTAAAAATTGAAAACGACATTACATGTATTTTGTAATTGCTCGCTCAAAAAGTTTAGAGATTAATGTTGCCTACATGGCACTTGACGAGTGCCAGAGTGTTCCAAAATGAATCTTCGTTGATGAATTTGGGGCTGGGGACACTCGAAGCTTTTTGTCATCTTAAAAGGATGCCATGACTGGAAAAAGTTTAAAAATCGCTGCTCTAATGTAAATGAATTAATTTATTAAAGTCATGTTACACATTAATTCGTCCTTGTTTTCACGAAGTGACGGTAGTGAGGAAAATCTTGACGCAAAGTGAATGCAATTTTTTTTCACTACCGTCACTTCGTGAAAACAGCGACGAATTATTGTCAAGAATGTCATTTCTCATTGTTCGCATAAAAGTTGTAAATCCTTCGCAATTCAGCCAGCAACTGGGACGAAATGATATAAACCTCGCGGTTTAATTTAATTCAATTCTTATTCTACGCTTAATTATCTTCTCATTCAGATTCAATGTACAGACCAAACTGCAAGTCATCAAGAACATGATAGACGCCATATGGTTAACAATCGGAAATATCGAGTGCAACTTCCCAATCATGGACGACATAAAAGACAAGATACCGGTTACCCGAACCGAGGTCATCGATATGTTCCAGACTAATTATCCGGTCCTTGATGACGACATAGGGAACCTTCAGGTGGTCATCGAAGACGTCATGGAAGAGCTCGGCTACCGTCCCGAAGTCGCTCCGAAGCCGCGTCGGAAGGAAATTGTTCAGGATGTGATCGACGGGCCACCCATAGTCCTGCCGGACCCAACTCCTGCACCGACTCCTGAACCGACTCCTGAACCGACTCCTGAACCGACTCCTGAACCGACACCTGAACCGACTCCTGAACCGACACCTGAACCGACTCCTGAACCGACTCGTGAACCGACTCCTGAACCGACTCCTGAACCGACTCCTGAACCGGAGAAGACTCTCATCGAGCGAGTAATCGACTTCTTTACGGAACTAAGTGACAATAATGAAATTGGTCAGGATGTGATCGACGGGCCACCCATAGTCCTGCCGGACCCGACTCCTGAACCGACTACTGAACCGACTACTGAACCGACTCCTAAACCGAAGATGACTCTCACCCAAAAGATGGCGAATATGTTCGCAGAGGGCCGAACTGTGGAGACCGACGACGAAGTGACGGAAGAGGTTCAGAAGTTTAGACTAGGTTTCATCGACCGAGTAATCGGCTTCGTTAAGGGATCAAGTGACGATAATGACTGAAGCATGCTTAAAAGATACCTCAAGATATAACTTTAGTTATTTTGAGATATGTAATTTACATTTGCCCATTAACCTACAAGATTCCACACCAAAGTGTTAAAGAGAGGCATAAAGTAAGATGTACAGTTTCTTAGCACGACATGGGCATTGCCATAATAAGTAATTTATTTTTCAAATGTATTATAATTTATGAATGCTACCTGCCCAGGTGTGTATGGTGATGAAGTATTTCTTTCACCTGATATTATCCTTTGTACCAAATTTTATTGCAAGAACGCAAATTCCATAAATAAGATGGTGCTCTTTTGGGGTGAAGGTTGCGCATTTTTGCCAACTGCTATATTTTAGTATTTTTAAAAAAGTGAGTAACAATTGTTCACCTGTTAAATTTTCTTTCAACACATATAATTTGTACGTTCTCAGTTATAATTTTCTCTGATTGATAAATAAAGGTTTTGTTATTTTATTCAAATGTCTTTCCAACTAAAGCTTGGTGCATGATACATGTACAACTCCACCTGGTACGTTACATTTTCAAACAAAAAATGGCTGCGCCAATGTCATGCTATTAGGAATGATATCATGCCAAGAATATCTTTCTTAATATATCTCTTGTAGACTCTCATAAGGAATATTTTACATCAAAGGGCAAAAATACATATCCCTTTTTCAGAATACCAACACTCATTCTGTGGGGTAAGGTTTTCTTTAAAACAGGATGACCATGGATGGTTCTTGGTTAGGCCAGGGACGTGATAGAGAAGGACTGGAATCAAGCCGCTCTCCTTTGACCCCATGCTCCAAGCCGCCGAAAAGTTATGCGCTAATCTGTAACTGTCAACCAGGTGGTGAGATAAAAGAGCGCATGAAATTTCAGGAGTTAGAATTCCTACATCAGAAAATGGTATCACTGCAACTGTTCGCTGTCCCTTCCAATGATTTCTCATCCATTGTTGAATGTGTAAAGAGTAGAACAAGCGAACACAAACTTGTGTACTTTCATCCTTTTTTAAACTTGAAAAATACAAAAAACACGCGAAAACACGCATTAGCAAACTTAATGTTATTGAATATTGTAAACCATGGATCAAATAACGGGACATTAAAGCATGCACAAATTAGCGCATCGTCCTAAAATATTGAGTTTTTGACAGGATGTAATTTTTCTTTTACCAACTCTGGCACACAAATTAAAGGAAGGACGGAGTTTTAAATTTGAAAATTTGTTTGATGCACTATTCCCAATAAAATCCCCATATAAAGTTTTTGATTTACACTGAAATTTTGCCGGTAATTTAATATTTTGTAATAAATGTAAAACTGGTGCCTGGCTTCCGAAAGTCCCCGCAGTGGAAGCGCGGTTCGGAGCATGGAACTTCAAAGCCAAGTGGAATGTTACACATCCCATTGTTACGCTTTAGAACTCAAGAATGCGTTTGAATAAATTACAAGAGTTTCGCCTCCTTTTCTTTCACCTCCCTGGTTAGGCCTACTGTAATCATATGCCCATTTATGTGGAGCAGCTGATAGGCTCTGCTGTGTAAAATACAGAGTATCATAATTTCCCCTGCTGTAGATGAGCCGCCATGAAAAGGCGCTGAACGTTCGAGCAATTTCTTCTTAACGGCCACTCTTATACTTCGCCTGGGTGAAGAGCGGCAAAAATGTTAAAGTAAACAAAAATACGAGACCACCATTTATAAACGATCATAGTAAACCCGGTTTCTGATAGAGCACTTTAATATCAAGTGACGAATTTGAAAGCGCTAACCGTTTGATTACTAGATTCACTTACTATTTACAGTCCGTTTTTTCCCTTTCCGTGGGGCCATTCAAACTAGTCGCCTTTTTACGGGCGCGCACATGCTAATGAAGCCACTGCTGACGTTCGCATCTTACCGGGTGCGTATTTTTTTATTTACACGGCAGCGAGGGGAATTTCTCGATTAATCCCAATGAAACCGCTCGGGAAGAGTCTAGACTAGACCGAATCCGAGTAGTACCTAGCAGCAGTGCAGTGTATTATATGTGTTGTACTCTCATACCCCAGAAGGGGGTCGAATGAGTCAATAAATTCTATTCTATTATATTCTATTATAAAGGGAATTGTACTTAACATGTAGATCTAGAGAATGAAACGATGAAAGACATCTTAAAGCTTATCTGCCGTAGTTTACAGGAGGGATTAGAGCGCCCTGCAAGGTCACTGGACAGGTGGTTATCTCATCAACTCAGTTCTCAGTTAACATAAGAAAAAGAGGATCATGGGGGACCAACGGTCATCGATTAGGCACTGTTTGTTATATAGATGGCGCCAATTTACCAGGTACCAATTTACCACCTGGGTAAAAGAGAGAAAATATAGATAAATTGACTTGATCAAGGACATCAGGAAGACAACTGACCGAGAACTAATAACCTACTAATGATTCAAAATCGGTCTTTTTGATGTTGGCCTGGAGTCGGTTTAGCGGTTTGACTGAGGTACTAGCTGGTCAACACTCGGGTTGAGGTTAGGGTTAGACCGAGGTCTAAGTTGCTCTTTTGTTAAGCATGACCTAATGGTGTCTTTTCACAAAGCGTTATATGATAGATACTTCAAGCCCAGCTTAATGTTTTAACTGAATTGGTAGATTACGGGCCCTGACGGGGCCATGTTTGCTCTAAAAAAAGGACAAGAGTCGTAATATTGATGCAGCTATGATTGCATGAAGATCTCTTTCAAGATTAAGAAATAAATAGAGGCTTTAATGGTACACTTCTGATGAAAAAAACATGTTGGTGATAAATTTTGGTACGAGGTTTATACTCTTGTGTTCTTATTAAGCTAATATTGGTCAGGGGTTTGGTATAAAGGCAAGTATATTCGTGGAACGATCGCAATTACTTTCGAAAAAAATCGATCCGGGAGCGATTTCAATACCCTATCGTATACCCCTGGGAACCTATGTGCGGATTGCGTAATACGACTTTGTAAATGTCCGCACATTTAAAAAGATGACGTACAAGGGTATTGAAGTGACCTTAGGCTGATTTCTCGAAAGTTTTTGCGATCGTGTAGTGTGTAAGATATATAGTTGTGCTCATACTACTTTCATGTGTTTGCTGATTACTGTTTGTTGAACAAACTCGCAAGGGTTCTCGTGTCTAGCCCAAATATGGACTTTTAGTTTGTAAAATTTAGCGAGCGAGCTAATTGCGTTACCAAAAAGATGTATATCATTTTATATTGAGGGCGACATTTTATATCGTTTTAATATATTGTTGTTACTAAAGTATGAGAATACACCGGTGTGGATATAATATATAGATGAAAAATATGGGTAGTTTCTAAACTATTGGGGACTTAATTAATATGTTGTACTAACTACAGGCTTAATGAAAAGTTGCACAAAGGGAAATGTGCCATAACTCAATCTCACACATTCAACTGTGATTACGTACGAGCACTGATCAAATCCGAAATCGGTACTTTCACATTTTTTACTTCAAAATACACGAGCTTTGAAATGAAATTAATGTGCATACATGATGGGGTGGGTGACCAAATTTTCGCTTTTCCCTTTTCCCCCACACATTAAGAAACACGTAGATCAACATATTTCATGTTATATACGTAATAAGAATAATATATCATATAATCGAATTCTAAGCAGTTCAAAGCTGTGTAAACTTACAATCAATAAAAACACGAGAAAATTGGAAGGCTTTCCAAGACTGACTTCAGTCAAAATGTGTGACCTTACCTCGTGCATGATATTTCCGGGTATTTGTAAAGATTCCACACAAGATTCCAAAAAGTGTCATAATTCAAACAAAAGCAGAACTATATGTTGAAACTTTAAACTAGATAATAATTTCTCTCTATTGTTGAAATTTCCCTCCAAAAGAAGAATATTGTTATTTTTTGCAAACAGGAAAAATATGATTTTTGTTTATTCACGTGTTAACAACAGTGTTGGCCTAGTCATTACCTGTAATTAGATTGTTTTAAAAGTTTATAATTTGTCTCCTCTGGATATGTCATTTATTCTTTTTCACAGCATCATTTTTCTTTTAATGTTTGGTATATTATTTCCGTCAAAATCGTGCAAAATACATTAATTTAAAATCATGCAGAATAAAACTCATCATTAATAAATCAACTTATTCTTTTTTGTTTTGATTTGTTTTATTGTTGTTTTCTCTTTGAGTTGTTGTAAAAAAAAAATTGTTTTTGTTATGACCAATAAAAAATCACTTATTACAACAACAAAAACTAACAAAAAAAATGTACTTATTTGCAAATCAATGTGCTTTTTAGAGTCCCACTGATCACTTCTTTGTTAATGGAAAGTCCGCAACGTAACTAGATTACCTCTTTCGTCCACATGATAACCTTAAAAAATATACTGTGAATAAATACATTTTTGGATTATTGAATAAACCCGGAATAGTTTATGTTTATGAAAAGTGTATGCTCGTCAAGAACATTTTTTTTTCTCTTGAAGTTCATAATTATTTACATTTTTTTTAATTTCTGATTGATATATTATATTTACACGATATATTTAAACGTTCAAACGTTAAAGAGAATATCCATTGATGCAGTATTAGTGTATCAAAAACAAAAAATCCTCTACATTTTTTAATTGAACTATTTCCGGTAACAGCAGGACATGATTTTTATCACAAATTATACCCCGTCACCAACGTTATGTGGGAATTTCATGCTGGATGATTTTGAATACATCTTAAAGGTATAGACCAGTTTTGGAAACGTTCCCCCTCTCAAAATGAAATGAAAGCTCTTATTACCAATCATAATGTGAAATAATATGTTTGACTAATACGTGATGATACAAATTTTGCCGGGAAACCGCTTACTAATTGATATATTTGGTAAATAATTATGTCTATCCGGACTGGATAGATATCGCATAGTCCCATATACATCTTTCTGTGTGCAGTGCTTGTAACTTTTAACAAGACTGGGCCAAATTTCCTATCATTTTGATGATTCCAGAACCTTGCAGTACACACCAATACTTATATGCTACATTTTTTGTTTTCATAGGTTTTTATTTATTTCTCTCATAAAGAAAAATTGTACATAATTTATAAGATTGTATACAAACTAACAAAATAATTTTAACATAGGTCTTAATAAATTTGCAAATGAACCTTAAAATTAAATATATTAAAAAGCAAAATTCAAGTATTTTAGACTTTTCGTAAATTCCACATCAAGATTATGAAATCTCCTATGATAATATTAAATAGGAATGATTTGAATCAACATTTTATGCCTTTTAAAATAACTTTTACAAAATATTTTCAATGATGCTAACAGCTTTCCATAATTGTTAAGTCCAATTTAGAGATAAGTTCAACTTAGATCTTTGTGAAACACCCCTAGACCTCAACTTTAGCTTAAAGAGAGAATGTGAGTTTTATGTAGTTTAAGCTTCTAACAATCACTCCTTTGGACTTTATTTTTTATTATTTACACAATTTCTTGCTGTCTGCTGCCTCGAAATTACTGGAGCGAAGAAATGTAACAATGTATAGCAAGAGTTTCTATTCAGTAAAGGATTAAGCCCTATTAATCCAGATGGATAATTCAATAACGTGGGCATCATCTCATCGAATGGTGTGTCCAGTATTAAAGGTAATACAAAGTTTTGGGAAATTTTGAAAATTGAGTGGCAGTGATTCTTTACAATTTTGATATATTTGGATGCCCCTGTGGATGTGTTAAAAGCACTAGAAAATTTAGCCCCTAAAATACTTTCTGCTTTCGAGAAAAATTGAATTAAAAAATTTACCGGTGCTCCCGGTAAATTTTGATAAGTTTCAAATAGCGCCTACGGCCGTACAATAATAGCTGCGACCATGAAAATCCCCAAAAATGTAGCTGTGATATATAATTTCCAAACGGGAATGGCTAATCTGTAGATTTTAGTCAAGAAACATTGTTTATAGCTCAATTAATATCTTGAGAGGGAGCTATACAACATAAAGAGACTTTATTATTTACAATTTCATAAATTTAGACTCAGTTTCAACCGCGACAACGATCCCTGAGTATTGTAGGATCGCATATGCTTCAAATAATTATGTTCATTTGAACCAAATTCATGACCCCATACCAAAACTTTGTATTACCTTCAAGGGCGTGTCTGCTATTGCTGAATGAGATGGAATGTCAAATCGGAGGGCTTTTTGTGCTCTTTGAAAGGAGCACACAATGCGGGCAGTGCGAATTTAAATTAAATTTCAAGGGATGGATTAGAGTTTGTATCTCCACATTTAGAATATTAAGGCATTTGAAAAGCCATGCTTTGCAGGGAACATTTTTTATCTAATTTTCTTCCACACTTGCATAATACAATGATAACGCTCACAAATCATTTTCAACTCAACCTTCTCTTTAAGGGCGTGTTCTGCTACTGCTCAAGGCCATTAAAAATATACATGTTTAGCGTCCCCGCCCGCTTCCTGTTTAGGGGTCGCCTCCTATTTTTTGTTTTTTTTTGTTGGAATTTTGTTGATTTTTTTTTCTTTTTTTTCTTCATTTTTTATAGAAAAAAACACATGAAAAACGCTGCTAAAATGTATCTATTTCTGATTAAAAAAGAAAAAAAAGTCGGCGGCCATTTTGAAACATAGCCCCACTGTCATGGAAAATGTACAGAGCGGCCATTTTGAGCGGCCATTTTGAAACATGTTTTTTTTTTAATTTGGCCTAATGAGATAGAATGCTCAATCTGATGGCCTTTATGTGCTCTTTTAAAAGGATTAATCCTACACTGAATAAGAAAGGGGGAACTTCAGCAGCCTTATGAAGGTCAACAACATGGTCTATCGAATAAACCATCGAATAAACGGAGGCTGCACATTACATGATACCCACTGAAGAGGAAAAGAAACAGCGCCATCTAATCATCAGTGATGAATAACCCCCCCCCCCCCCTAAAAAAAAACAAAAAACAAAAAAACAAAACAGCACAGCTATAGGCAGAAATAATCTTTTTAGATTGGTCAGCCTTAAAAGGCAACAACAAAAACATCAACAACAATCTGTGGTTAGTTCATGTTGGTACCTCCATCCTCATTCGCAATGAACCCTATCAGGGTCCCGTCCTTACTTTACACTCAAACATAAATTCTTCAACACATTCTATTAGGGACTTTTAGATACGCACGAAGACAATAGGTCTATGCTACGATCGACGTCCTAATAATGCACTGCCTTGAATGGACGTCACACGTTTCAGTCCACTCAAATCTAAAAGTCCCTATTATAAAGTTCAGAGCGACAATGTATGTTTGGTGTTTGCAATACCTTTTTAAATGACCATAATTAAAACCATAAAAGCAACGTCTACAATGATAGAATTGGCCTATATAACTGTAATGCTTAATCACATTGGTAATGATAAGAGTTCAAAGAGCAAATTAATCATTCTTTATTTACTCTTGGTAGACCTTGGTAAAGTATGAAAAACGCTAACAGACTTTGTTTAAATCAGAAAGACAAGCATTAGTCCGTAACTCTGATAAGGACATAGACAATCAATGCATACTTCAGCATTTTTATCTCCTTACGTTGTCATTTACACCGAACTCTATCTAGGCATCGTTGATTACATTGAGAGGAGCGCGACTGCTTCTCAATTCTTTCTTTTTTTTCTGAAAATTTTGATTCAAACTTCAATCAAGTGAGACTTGTGCTTAGAATGTCGGCCAAACATCGCATGCTCTTGGTGAACAGAGGTAACTTTTCCACGTACCAGTAGTGTCCGAATATTTTCAACGGGCGGGATTTTTACAAGAACAGCATTACAATTTCATGGAAATTCACCGGTTAAAACTATTTTTGTAAGTGCTTCCATATCCGATATTGAGCAGTATAAGTTACTTCACAAATGTTCCCGAGTCGGTGATTTTAGACAAAAGTACACAATATTTTACCTTTACCAAAGTACAATAGAAGACGGACCTATCGAAGTAGAGGAGAAAGAAGGGGAGAATGAAGAGGTTGCAGTAGAATAAGAACGTGGATGACTACAAGAAGAGGAAAGGAGAACAAGAACGAAAAACGGAAAAAGGACAACGAAACAGATTCAGAAAGGCCAGAGAAAGGTAGAGAGAGAGAGAGAGAGCAAGAAATAAACTTATCCATACTACTAACTGCATGTCAATTGGTAGGTGTTGAGGTCGAATAATACGCTGGTACTGAGAAAAAACAAAAACAATGAAAGACAGGGTTCTGAGTGCCGAATGGACCGGGTTTACTGCAAGCGATGGCTATCTCAATGTGGGGACCACGTTCATTCTGGGTATCGTCCTCATCATCGTCCTACTCGTAAAGAACGCGAGGAGACCACATCGCTTTCCACCCGGACCCCCAGGCCTTCCGATCATCGGAAATGTTTTCGGTAGGTCCATTCATGATACAAACAACTCGTCCCTATTTTCACGAAGTGACGGTAGTGAGGAAAATCGTCACGCAAAGTGAATGCAAATTTTTTTCACTACCGTCACTTCGTGAAAACAGCGACGAACTAATTATCATAATCGCCGTCGTCGTCGTCATCATCATCTCCATCGCATTCCAAATTCTCAGGCTTCGTTCAGATACGACGCGGTAAACAGTCATGTTTTACCTCCATTTTTTAAAATGATGCCGTAAAGGGTAATACGCTTATTTCTGTATCTTATAACGCGCTAGTGAATGCGCGTAGGATCGTTGTTGCGCGCAGATTTGCGGCGGTTTACCGCGGCATATCAGATCGAACAAGCCTCTATATGCGTCCTATTTTTATCTGATATTATTGTAATCTATGGCTTTATTATAAGCTTTCCGTTGATACATAATTCATCCATTTCATTTTTAAGTTCGGATAAGGTATTTCATATTTGGATTAGAAAAGTACTAAGCTATCTCTTCAAATTTATAGGCCTATTTATGCTCGTTAAGGTTCAAATTCTATTAACTCTAGGCTCACACATATCTTTCAAGTTATAGGCCTATACACAGTCTTCAATATTCAAATGCAATGCATAGTTTACTCTTCCACGCATATTTTTCAGTTTCTGATCACACCCATCAATATTAAAATTATATTCATACTCGTCAAAACATGATAGCTTTTTTATACTCGTAAATATTCAAAATCTATTTCTCATAGCCAAAGACATATCGTTTAAGTTTTATTCAGACTCGACAATATTCAAATTTTATTCTTACTCGTCAAAAACATAGCTTTTTTATACTCGTAAATATTCAAAGTCTATTTCTCATAATCAAACACAAGTCATATCGCTCAAGTTCTTTTCAGACTCGACAATATTCAAATGTTATTCTTACTCTTCAGAAACAGAGCCTTTCATACTCGTCAATATCTATTTCTATTTCTCATAGTCAAACACATACCTCCCAAGTTCTATTTATTCAGACTCGTCAATATCATATTATCATTCATCAAACACAATCATTCTTTTCCCCAAGTTATATTCACTCTCGACAATATTCATAGTCCATACTGGTTGGGGGGGGGGGGGCGCCAGCCCCCCCCCCCAATAAAATTAAACCATGACTTATTTTCAATTCCATACAATTAAGTGAGTTATAAATGTTCGTGATATCACATGATTTTCAACAAAATGCGCGTTCTCCATTTCTGTTGCAAACTGACACATTTCCAAATAGCCAGGAAGAGCATATTTGTTTTTTATAGTCATTAATTGGCCTTTAATGGTGGCCACTAACAGTAACGCTAGTACATAACCGAATATATCCAGTTTAGCGAAAAATCTGGATACCCGTATGTCCGGCCTGCGTATTTTTTTTTTATACGCTAGCGAGGGGTATTTTTTCGATTAATTCCAATGAAACCGCTCGCGGAAAGCCTGGACTGTATTTTAAACCTTTACACGTACGTACTGTACTGATAGTTTGATAGTTTGATAATGTACTGAAATTGTTTTGTCGATGGGTGTTAATTGTGTGTACATGTGAGTGTATGTTCACGCACGCTGCGCTGATTTCTGCTCTCATATTCAACAGCAAATTGCAAAAATAAATGTCAATACTTTTGTTTAATATATGTAACTGCTCGGAATCTGTTATTGTGTTCAAATGGTTGTTATTGTTCTTGTTGTTCGTTTGGTATTATAATGGCTATTAGTCAAATTTGACTATTGTTGCCAATTTCATCGCATCTCTTTCTTTTAATGTCTTGGTAAATTTGTATTTTTCTTTCTTTTTCCAATCTCATTTTAATAGAGTGGTATGGTATCAACTATGAATAACTTGTTTCAACCATACTTTTTCCACAGGACGTCCCTCCCCTTCTCTCTCTCTCTCTTTCTCTCCCTCATAACTCTTTCATCTCTCTCTCGATCTCTCTCTATCTCCCTACTCTTTTTATTTGGATGAATCGCTATGACGTTTGAATATATATATTAATTATTGAGTGGGCTTATTGTGCTTTCTAATGGATCCCTACAACATGGCAGATCCACTGAGGGGCCTGGCAGAGCAGAATCCCAGGATGTTCTCGAGTTTATTTGACTTTCAAGAGAGAAATTGTTTTGTTTTTTTAGAGAAAAAGAGGTTATTTCTAAAATGAAATTAAAGGGCTCTTGAAAGTCAAATAGCCCTTTCATTTCCTTTAGAAATAACCTCTCTTTACCTCTTAAAGACAATTTTATGAGATGGAATGTTCAATCTGAGGGCTTGTTGTGCTCTTCGAAAAGAGCACACAATGGGGGCAGTGCAATTTGAACTTCAAGGGATGGATTATATAGTTTTTATCGCTCTTGAAAGTCAAATAGCCCTTTCATTTCTTTTTAGAGAGAAACTCTTATCCATCCCTTGATATTTAAATTGCACTGCCCCTATTGTGTGTTCTTTTTAAAGAGCACAAAAAAGCCCTCAGATTAGTCTGCATATAGCAGAAAACGCCCTTAATACTGGACTCAACATTCAATGGAATGACGCCCACATCATTGAGTTTGAAACGCACTCCTGGTCAAGAATGGTAGAAGAATCATCTGGATAAAAAGGATAGGGGTTATTACTATTACCTTTTTTCGCTCCAGTGAGCACGAGGCAGCCGACAGCAAGGCATTGACATTGTGTAAAGAATAAAAGGTCCAACGGAGTGGTTGTTAGAAGCTTTAACTACATAAAACTCGCACTCTCTCCAATTTTTGACAACAAAAGGTTGTCTTGGGAACCACTTCGATCTATCTTTATAGATGGGGTGCAGGGGGGAGCCTTTGCCGACAGTCTTGGGGCGGAGCCCAAGGAAAATCTTGAATTTTTAAAAAATTAGAAAAATTCAAATAAATCGTCACAAGCGATAGAAATTGTTAGTTCCTCCTTGAAAGTCACAAAGCCCCTTTTCATTTCATTTTAGAAATAACCTCTCTTTCTCTCCTAAAGACAATTTTATAGAACTTCTGTTTTCATATTGTTGTACTTTCGTCCGCACATGTCGAGCCAACTCATCGGGAATGTAATCTGTAAGGGTAAATTTAAGTTTCATGTTCTTCCTTTTTTGTCTTTCTTTTTTTCTTCTCTCCCTCCCTCTCTCTGTCACTCTCCTTTCTCTCCATCCTCTATCTTCTTCTCTTTTTAAATTATTCTCTCTTTCCTTTCTCATGTTTTCCTTTTATCGTTCTCTCTTTTTCCTATTTCCATAAAAGAATACAATTTTCTCACTTATGATGGCAAAGCCATATCATTATGGCTATGTCATCATAAGTGACATTACATATGGCATGTGTTTGTAATTTGTTATGGGAGATATTCTTTTACTTGTTAATATGTCCCCCTGTGAATAAATATATGTTCCTTTATTTTTAAAAATCCAGAAAATCGACACTTCGAGTTATTGTGTGCACAAATCAAATGGGAGTTATCCTTGGAGTGTGTGACATGCGTTACGAGTACGTGTGACATCGCATTTAAATGCCAGTTGGAGATTCCCCATCTTATTACATGAATTGATCTCGATAAAAACAAATATATAACTTTCTCATCAATTCTATTTCTGATTTTTCTAATACTAATTTCCAATTTAAAAAAAAAGAGAGAAAGAAGATAGGTAGGGGAGTTTAATTGCGATTTTCCCCGCCAACAAGGTATAGATGGGGGGGGGGGAGGGGGGAGGGGGATACCCCCTAAATACAATTCAAACGTGGTTTATTTCTAATTTGATACCGGTGATTTACAAATGTTGATGAAATGACATAATTTTCCGAGATCTTTCCTCAATCTTCAGTAAATTATACTTTTTATGCGTTTGTTGGGAAATGGCAAATTCCTGAATAAAGAAAGAAAGAAAGAATAGTGACCTGCCTTTGTCACAATTAAATCCAAACGTGGTTCATTTCTAATTCGATACCGGTGATTTACAAATGTTGCTGAAATGACATAATTTTCCGAGATTTTTCCTCACTGTTTAATAAATTATACTTTTGTATGCGTTTGTTGGAAATTTCAAATTCCTAAATTTACAGTCAGGCAAGAAATATGCTTATTTAGAGGCCTACTTGAGCTCCGCCCCCACTTTTTTTGAAAAAGTATACTAAAGAGAAATAGAAAGATAATAAGAAAAAGAGAATAGTGACCTGCAAGTGTCACAAAATAATGAGGTATCAAAATATGCTCATCTGACCGTGATTAAATGCCTAAATCCCCCGAGCTTCCGGGGCTCCGCAACTGGACCCCACGCCAATTAGTGACCTGCCAGTGTCATGAATAAGGTATACAAATATGCTCATCTGACCGTTATAAAATGCCCCCCAAAACCCTGAGCTTCTGGGGGCACCGCCCCCTGGACCCCACGCCAATTAGTGTCCTGCTAGTGTCACGAATAAGGTATCAAAATATGTTCACCTGACCGTAATTAAATGCTTAAAACCCCTGAGCTTCCGGGGGCTCCGCCCCTCGACCCCACCAGGGGGCCTAAGGCGGGCCCCTGAATGCTCAATGACCGTTATAAAATGCCTCAAATCCCTAAGTTTCAGGGGGCTCAGCTCCCTAGACCCCACGCCAATTGATGACCAGCCAGTGTCATGAATAAGGTATCAAAATACGCTCATCTGATCGTAATTAAATGCCCATACCCCCTGAGCTTCAGGGGACTCTTGACCCCTGCCGGGACTTTGCCCCTAGACCCTACGCCAATTTACACTACACTCTACCTGATCGTAAATACTTTAGCCTCCCCCACCCACTTTGAAAAACGTTCAGCGGGGCCTGCATGTTGTTGTTTTTGTAGGTAATAGTTTAATGGCGTTCATTCAGTATACGCCATATCTTTAATTTTATAAGAAAAATCAATCATACATAAGAAAACTGAGGATAAAGATTTGTAATGATATAATTAATTAATCAGTAACGCAATTTATTAGGAGTCTCTGGATGGTTTGCAACTTCGTGTTTCTGCTTTTTAAAGTTTAATCTGGTCAGCCCGGTTTCGATTGCATGGAAACTAGCTTTGCTCGATTTGAAACAGGCTTCTCGGCTACTCGGCGTGCGTGCGCAGTGATCTTTTAATTTTGTAACGCACGGTACCTAGACCACTCAGAAACACAGAAACACTAAATTGAGACACATCGTACAGGGGCCTGCATGTAAGAGTGGGGTGATGCGGATTTTTTTTTGTCTGCCAAGCCCCCCCCCCAAAAAAAAAAAAATTGTTCATTACGCCACTGATCATACTAGTCAGTATTTTTGTCAAGATCTATTGGCACTTGCTTCTATTCATACTTTCTTATTTTTAAAAATCTCCTCTTCAAACTACAGACTTGACAGCGACCAGCGAAGTATTATTCGACAAATGGTCCAAGGTCTATGGCGATGTCTTTAGCTTCCGGGTCGGGGACCGATGGGTCGTGGTTTTGAATCATCAGGAGGTCATTAAAGAAGCGATGTTGAAGTACGACGTCGAGTTCAGTGGCAGGCCTCAGTTTTATTCCGGTAAGAAATGTCGAGGTGTAATGGTTTAATCACTTGACTGTCAATGTATGGGTTGGGGGTTCAAATCCAAGCCTGGCACCAACGTTCTTCGGATAAATAATGATCTGCATTTACCACTCTTCGGTGTAATGGGTACCTACTGCATGAGTCGCATGAAGAGCATTATTAATGCTGGGGGGATCCTAAGTCGAACTTAACTCTAAGTTGGACTTAAACATAATTATAATTTTCTGCCTTTTTTTTGGGGGGGGGGGGGGGCTTGCGGCTTTGGGTGCTTTTGGGTTTCTTACATTCATTTTTGTACATGTACCTTGCGATTTCTTTTTGGAGGTGGGAGCTAGAAGATTTTATTGGTTGTTTGTTTGTTTGTTTTGAGGAATTTGAGCTCCCCCGAGGCCCCCATCCCTCTAGTCAGAACGCTCGCCATCTGTTTAAAAACTCTTTTGATTTGCTCAACACCGTGTCTCCTTTGATCTTTGAACCCCCCCCCCCCCCACACACACACACAGCGGAAATTGCTTCTGACGGGTTCAAAGACATCGTCTTCAGCAATTACTCGGATACCTGGAAAATTCATCGCAAGTTGGCCCATTCAGCTTTCAGGTAAAACCAGTTTCTTCTACTTGGCTTATATCGCTCGATGGAGCTCGAAATAATTCTTTGGAGCTCCAAGATTTAAAGCATAACCACGCTCACGTATGCCTATCATGCACATGTCTTACCTTTCTCTCTGACTAACACTTCTAGCTAGCCCTGTAGCTGCTGGCAAAAGGGGTTAAAGATTAAGGTGTCCAGTTCAAAATGGTGTCAAGTCGTAAGAAATAAGTCAGAAATCCCTCTCAAGATAAGTCTAGTAGTTTAAGATAAGTTTGGCGTTGTTTTGGATTAGAAATCTAAAGATATTACGGAATATGAATACCAGAGGCAGTGGATCACTTCAGTGGCTTTCAAGACCTGCCTGTACGAGTTTGCTGATTATTAAAGCACGATGACAAACACATTTGTGAATGTCGGGTGAAGCTATTGATTTCATCGTTAAGCATCATATGTATGTTATTCGAAAGATAATCTACATGTATTCCGATCAATATATACACGTGACCAAAACTTGGTCCTAATACAAACATCCAAGCAGCCACCTCCCCGAATTCCTGTCAGTCCTAATAAGCATTTAAAAGATCTACACTCGTCCCTCAAATACGCACTTTTATCTTTCTCCCCCACTCCTCCCCCTTTCACCCACCTCTCTCTCTTTCTCTCTGTCACACACACATACACACACACACACACACACCCACTCTCTCTCTCTCTCTCTCTCTCTCTTCAGAAAATTTGCCACAGGACACAAGTTAGATGATTTGGTGCACGGTGTCATTCCTCAAGTACAACAAATGTTGACAGAGAACAGTGGAAAGCCGTTTGATCCTAAGCTTATGATCACCCTAACCCTCTACAACGTCTTCTCCAAAATGTGCTTCAGTGAAAGGTAACGATGCGTGGTCATCATCGTGGTCATCGTCGTAGTCGCCATCATCATCATTTCCATCGTCAACCCAGATGATTAACATAATTATCATTTTCACCAGCAGCATCAGCATTTTCATATGATCATTATCATCTTCATAATCATCATCACCATCAATTATTATCATCACCATCATTATTCATATGATTATTCCCAACATTATCCTCATCCTTATCGTACTTTCCGTCATTATCATAATTATCATCATCATCATCATCACCATTATCATCAGCTCATTATCGTCATCATTATCATCACAATGGTCATTTACCCAATCATTGTCATCATCATAATCATCATAGTTAAGTAATCACCATTTCGATCCTCATCATTTCCGTCATTACCAATGTCGTCGACATTACTATCAAACAGAAATAAATAAATCATATCAAATCAAATCAAATCCAATCCAATCCAAATTACCATAGATTTCAAAATTGTATATGTTATAAAGCGGGTTCTAGCGGATGTCGCAATCTTATTGGTCAAATAGCACCACGTGTCCGTGCATCATTAAGAATTAACCATCCTAATAGCTGCCATCATCGGATAGTGGATAGTAGGGTTATTATTTTGTCTTATGACTTGTTATCATCATTGTTATTCCTCCACTAGTTATGACTTCAGCGATCCTAGGATGCTGGGATACATCACCATGTCACAGGAGTTAGCGGAGAAGGTCGGGTTTGGTCTGGTTGCAGACTACTTTCCATGGGCCAGGTTCCTGTCTTACAATGGTGCCAGCTACATCCAGAGAATGAAGCAGAAGTACATGGAATGGACCTCACCCCAGCTGCAACGCCACCGTGAGACGTTGGACCCAAGTAATAACAGAAATGCACTATTATGCACTTCAGTGTTGCACACGAGGCGTCGTAACGTGCTGACGTAAGGCTGCGTCAAGAGCTGCTGGCGCGCCCTTTGACGCGCCGTGCAAGCGTCGTATTGTACAAGAGTAACTGAAAGGGAAAATGCAAAGCGCATGTACTATTGCCTTCGTAGACTTGATAAGCTTAAGTAATGGACGCAATCGCAATGACGCTTCGTGTGAAACGCGTTTTGAGAATATAATCGTATTGGTAAGCTATTAATTGCATTTTTGCGTCATAATCACCTAATGTAAGGACGTCATGTTTTATTGACTCTTTTTTCATGATTTCGAATTTGATCCTACATACACACATATACTTATTTTCAATGATCTAGGCAACGTACTCATAATGTCATCACTTAATTAATTCCTGACAATGTTAAGGAAAGATAATGCAAATAACAATCTATAAGCTTCGGAAACTGCTCTGTGTTTCAGGGGTTTAGCTTAACAACCAGTATGTAGTATTAAACACACTGAAAAGTTATTGAAAACTGACAGGTTCCTTTTAACTGATCCCGGGCTGAGAACTACAACCTCGTAATTACAATATTCATGAATACAACAAATTAAGAAGAAGAAACTCTCCCATCTATCCAAGTATATTGCAGAATAGACAGGTTTACTACTATAACCACATTTTTGCATTTTTCTTTCCTGGGAACATAGTGACGAGTTATTCCATTAATCTAGTGAAATTTAATGAATTAAGTACAATACTCGAAATCCGGTCTGCATAGATATATGTATATATATATATATATATGACTTATTGCTATGTCGGCTAAACCTCGGGCAAGCTTCCGGGTGGTAAAGAACAACCTTTGTTTAAAAAGTATGCATAACATTTGGATATGTTGGTCTACTATCATTGACCTTGAAGATTAACCTTTAATAGAGGAAGTATTCACTGTCGAAGTTATGATTTTATTTTTAGATGAAGCGCGTGATTTCTGTGATTTGATGCTTCTCGCTCAAATGGAAGCGATGGACAACGAAGAAGATCGGAAAATATCCCAGAATCTATCGGACATCCATTTGAAACAAACAGTCAACGATATCTTCTTGGGTAAGATTACAAGGCCATTTTCCTGCGGAATGAAATCAAATTGTAAATTCACAAATCTGTGTTAACTCCCTACAAATTATTCTATTCACCTGTATAATACAAATAAATGTATGCCTACTGTATTTTTAGCGAGGACAATATTATTCATAATGTGTTTTTTTTAAAGAATTTCTTCTGCATTTGATATAATAAAAATAGTGGGTTTTTGAAAAGCGCTCATATTTGTCATACTTGACACTCTTGGCGCTCCGCAATTGATACCTCGGCTTTACCATGGCTGCCTTTACGGCGCTCTAGCATTTCAAGGAATTAATTCCTGCCAGGTACCCATTTACGTCACCTGGGTCGAGTGTGGCAAATGTAGATTAATATCTCGCCAAAGGACATAAGTGCCGCGGCGGGACTCGAACCGCGGATCTTGTGAACTTGGGATCCACAGTCCGGTGACGTACCCACTCTACCACGTGTGATGTTTCATCTTTTGAGATTCAGAAGGCCATTAACTCATTACAACCAACAACCCTTGAGAGTCAAGTGAATGAAGTACTATACCACTATGCCTCCACTTAACATGATTTTTCGTTAATTTCTTAGCTGGAATCGAGACATCGATGCAGAGGCTCTACTGGGCTATCGCTCTAATGACCGAGTACCCCGACGTCCAGGCCAAGATCCAGGGCGAGATTGAAGTCGAGATCGGACGTGGTCGTCATCCCGTCATCAAAGACCGCGGTAACCTGCCATACACGGAGGCGACGCTGTACGAGATGATCAGGTATAGCACCGTGGGCCCAGTAGGTGTACCTCATGCAACCATGGTCGATACCAAGTTCCGTAAGTACTTGAGGCTCTTTCAGATATGGCGCAGTAAACCGTCCCCCTCCCCCACCCCCCCCAAAAAAATTATCACTGCATATTCACTGAACTCTGTGTTATTGATCAGACACAGAAATGTGAAGCGTATTATACTTAATGTCATCACGAAAAAAAAAAACAGTTGGGGTTTTGCCGTGCTATATCTTAACTAGGCTTTACTGTTATCATGTTTAGACATTTACAATTAAATACCTCAGTCATACCGACACCACACGGGCACAACAACGCGATAGACCAAACAAAACATAACATTAGCCCAAATGGCAAAGAACTGGTCGGTTTCTAGTTGCAGTGACTGCGATATTAAAAGTTTATAAACTTCTCTTTAGAAATCTAGCCATCTGATTGGTCGAAATTGGAGTCGTGATTTTAGCTATTCCCGTAAAGAAACGAACAATGCCAGTATCGACTAAAAGTTCATGAGTGAGATTCCCGAAAAGATTCCGGGTACCGGGGAAATAGTAAAATTTTGATGAGATCCCCATTGGTTTACGTGTTAAAATTTACTTTGTGCGAGCGCGGATACCATACAGTGCTTGTTGTCTGCGATTCTTAAATGATTGTAACATTCACTCATCTTTCCAGCGAAGATTAACAGACAGTGTCACAGATGTTCTGTGATGTTTTAACCAATCTTTTGTTGTGTTAATTCGGTATATAAACGACATATCGACTGCTTTAATATTCACGACCTGGCTGTTTCTATACTGGCTCTCGGGCGCGCCTCGGGGTCATGACAGGATGCAACGTCCCCTTGAGCCTTTAGAACAGTTGGACCTCTCATAGTAGTCGATATATCTATACTATATTTCAAAGTGTATAATACAGTTAAAGTTGTTTTAGCGAGCACCTGTTTAGAAGGGCTATCCATCTATACAGACTGCTCTTTTTATTCCTCTGGAAATAATGCTCGTCATTAACATACGTGTTAAAGGGTACCTGATAATAAAGATCACATGTCTATGAAAACTACTATTTGTGTCTCCATTTGGCGGTCTTTATACGGCTTCACTGTATTATATTCGTGATATAGGGGCACTGAGGATCGTGATGGGCTTGACCATACTTCAAATGCTTGTCAGAGATTTTTTTCTCGTAATAATCCCTTCCTCACTTTTACAAAAACCCAAATCTGCCCCTGCACAGACCAATATACGGTGAAAATGAATCAAAATTTTGCCTAATGTGTAAAAAAAAAAGAGCGACCATACACCAAAGTGGCTCCACCTCCAAGCACATGGAAATCCATCAAAACATATGTGATGTAATGTGTATTGACTTAGACAGCTTAACGGACAGGACAGAGCATTCGCCTTTGAATTGCATTCCAAAGTCCGAGGATAACGTCCACAAAAAAAGGTGGCCCAAAACCTGTTAGATGACCAAAGAAATAATCTCTTTTGCCTGAAACTTTATCAGCCATTAGGTCATCCATGTTTGATGTTATAGGTGACTGAAGTTTGGGTAACAACTTTAGAACAATAAAGTTCCTGGAAATATTAGTGTGTCTGACCAGAGGTGTATCCAGAGATGAATAAAGAGGAGGGGTCAGGAGTGATTCAACCACCGAGGAGGGGGAGGGAGGGGGGAGGTGGAGCACCTGTCTTAATTGGAAATGCAAACTGATGAGGCGGAGGGTGCAGGAGGTCGCATCTTGTTTTCTCGATCTTCTACCCCTCTCTATTTCTCTTTATTTTGCAGCCTTGTCTACTTTTTTAAAATTTTTATTATACTATTATTTTAATCACATGAGCTTGGGGAGAGGGAAATGGAAGGTACCATAACATCATGTATTGCGTAGTTTATAAACAAACGGAAGGTTATATAAATATCTAGGCCTATATATTTTTTTTAATTATTATTTATTTATTCATTATTATTATTATTGTTATTATTATTATTGTTATTATTATTATTATTTGTTGTTGTTTGAGGGGGAGGGGTCTTCATGTGGCGGTTTCACAGTAAGCTGGACAAACCGCTGTACAACCCTTGTATTATATCTAATATTACAATGTCTTTAGTATGTATATTACACGAAATACATTGGCTTTCAGTTACTGAGAAAATACAATATTGGATACTGTCTTGTTCAAAATTTCAAATCTTTGTCAACCAAACTTCCTCCAAACATCTACTCACTCTTTCAACTACAGAAAATATAATAACATTCACTTTGATCTACATCAGCTACTTCCTTCCTCATTCCCAAAACAGGCTTACTTCATTATCATTATAATATAGTTATTATTATCAATTTTATAATAAATGTTATCATTATATTGTAGTGCACGCCTTTTTAATGCATTCCAAAGTCCGTGAATCAAAACAAATACTGGTTTATGTCAGTTGAGATCACATTCCCAGGCAACTATAATCGATTGGCAAATATTCAATGTTTGATTGAATAAACTTTAGATGACTTTGTTAATTTGAAAAACAATGTCATGTGAACGTCGGGGATTTGTTTCTATGCATATCAGAAATATACTCATTTTGATCAGTAATTACTTAATCTTTTTCATTGAAAAACAAAATTTATTTCTAATTATCTGATGCGAGTAATTACGGTATTCGTTCTCTTTGTATTTAATGGGTAAATTATGAAAGTTTAAAAGTGCCGACAGGATGACGAGATAATTTGGGCAGGAAGACGAGAAGATCAGCTAAAAGACGGCAGACGAGTTGATAAAAAACCCAACTGGTCGCCCGGCCCCTCCACTCAGTGTTATTTAGGTTACGCATAATAATGCATGTTCCCTCCTTTAAAACACCCCCTAAGTCCAGTGTATAAAAGTCTTTTTTGTGTACTACGAGCCGGAGTTTGGTGCGTGAAAAGTACCCCTTTACCGGACTTTTTGGTAACACGCATGGTATCCCTCCGTTCACGGAGTGGGGGGGGGGGGGGGGGGGGGGGGGGGGGGGGGGGGGGGACTGGTCGACTCGTTTAGAACATGAGAACGATTTCGAACGACTCGCCTTCCCATCTTCCTGTCCTGAATTACCTCGTCATCTCGTCAGCACTTTTAAGCTTCGGTAAATAATGGGTATACTTCAGATATGCCACATTGATCATTTTGTGTAATACTTGACAAACATTGAGTGTTTGTTTGAGAGGTATTTGAACTTTAGCTGTCACGTAGAACGCTTGTATAAAGTTGGACTGTCTGATTTATGTTTAATGTAGACTTTGTCAATACAAGCCAGATACACAATCAATGGTAAGAGATAACATGTTTATTGTGTAAAGAACTAAGTAGTCGACAATGCACCTCATATAATCCTATTAGCAACGTAGTTTTAACCAAGGTTATTTTGATAAAAATGTAGTTGTAATTCGAATTTTGTTATTAAGTTTTCGTGTTTCGTTACTGCTCAGTCGCCAGTAAATGACGCAAAGTAGCAGGGGCCTTTAAATACCCCTTGAGTTCGTTTAACGAAGAGGCACTCTTTCATTGCACTTTGCTCACTGTCCTCGACTTCCCCTTCCCTAACTTTAAAGTCCCACTGCACTAATTACAGCTACTTGCGCTCTCTATATAATATAGCAAACAATATCTAATCGGTGACCATCGGTCCCCCATGGTTCCCTATTTCTTATGTTAATTGAGAGCCGATTTGTTGAGATAACCACCTGTCATTGACCATGCAGGGAGGTCTAACCCCTGGCCAAACTAGTACAGATGTGTTTTAAAGACTCTCCACAACCGCCTGAGTCTGGGAGTTTCCTGGTACATGTAATATAATTATTGGTCGGTCTATCGTCAAACCGACTCCTAACCGACTTCAAAAGACCGATTTGGGGCGATAGGAGGAAATGTCTTTTTTTTGCTGTCGGCTGCGTTGGTGTGACCGAGGCATTGTGGTTTTATCATTCCCTGCAGGTGGATATCTGATACCCAAAGGCACCACTGTTCTTCTAAACCAATACTCAATGCACTTCGATGAAAGAGAATGGACAGACCCTCATTCTTTCCGACCGGGTAAGCTAAGTCAGACCGCCAAACCGACCTCAAACCGACTCCAAACCGACTTATTCTTGGCTATTCTTCGTAACTATGGTCAGGTGTTGTCGGTCGGGTGTCGGTCTCATCGGTTGATACCCATGTACCACCAGCGAGACTGACACAAGACAGATTATACAGGCCGAGCAAAAACATTAAATCACCCCCAAATAGTCAAGAGTCTGTCCGGTTTTCTATCGGTTTCAAGTCGATTTGGCAGTGTGACTGAGGTTTGACTGAGGTATTAATCCTCAGTTACACCGCTGAACCGACTCCACCCCGGCTCCAAACCGGCCAATTCGTGGCTATTCGGGTTTGGATTAATGCAATGTAATGTTGGGTGTATTATCGGTCTGGTGTCTGTTCGTTGGTATGACTGAGGCATTAGGTTCTTATGTATAACAACGGACCGTAAGTAACTTTCTCCATTCATTTATGGAGCGCAAAGTGTCGAGCTCTTTATCCGCTACAAATGAAATATAATTCTGTAAACAAAAATTGAAAAGATTATTCAGTCTGTAAGTGAAGAAAGATATACTGATTTTATAATGACATGATATTTGCCTGTTTATTTAGAACAGAAATTGATTATTTTGTTTGTTTAGATTAGGAGCTTCACACTGGGCTTTTCGTACATGAAAGTCGGAGTTCAATGACGCATTAATGTAATCTTAACGCCCCAGTGCACTACTTATAGCTACTTGCGCCCTCTATAAGCAAACAATGCCTAATCGGTGACCAATGGTCACCCGTGATCCTCTTTTTCTTATGTTAATTGAGGGCTGATTTGATGAGATTACCACCTGTCCAGTGACCTTGCAGGGTGGTCTAATCCCTCTTGTAAACTAGTACAGATGGGCCTTAAAAGGTATGTGTTGAATAACAGGCTCAGCTATTTTCCAAAGGCTTTTACAATTTGGCCAACTACAGAATAGACCCCAGTGCACAAATATCTTTTCACGTCAATCAAATCCTCCCGGATTCAGGTTCTATTTTATTTATTTAATAGGCCTACTGTATATTCTATTCCATATGTATTTTTATTTTATTTTTACAATGGAAGAGTATGGTTTACAAAGATATAAACATTATCGGAAGGACATAGAATGTATACAAAATACTGATTATTATGAAAATCGGAATAAGACATAAAGTTCGTTCAAAAGACTTAAATCAGAAGATGTTTTTATTTCGATATGATTATATACATGTCACTGTGAGCCTTCATTCAAAAAGATATGTTGCCGATCAATTCAGACTCCGCTCTTTTCTGAAAATATAATGCTGTCTGTATAGCTATACTACCGCTGCCTTGTTGCGCTCGTAGAGGTTGCACAATGTACGTTGTACGAGTATTGGCCTGCTTGGCTCTCCATATACTGCCATCCTAAGTTTATGTATCTATTTCGTAGAGCACTTTCTGGATGAGAGCGGTACTACCCGGCTGCATCCATCCAGCTTTCAACCGTTCGGCACCGGTCGTCGGAGCTGCCTCGGGGAAGCCGTGGCCAAAGCAGATCTCTTCCTCATCTTCACCTGGCTTCTGCAGAACTACACCTTTCGAAAGGTTCCGGAATATTCCGAGGAGAACCTGCTCAAGCTCCTTCCTGAGACGGCCGCAGGGCGTGTCCTTCAGAATTACAAAATCCTCATCGAGGAGAGATAAGACCTAAAGCTAGTCACTATGATGAGGTGTCCAAAGTTCGCGCAAATTTAAAGCGGGACTGCACTACTTGTAGCTACTTGCGCACTCTATATAGCAAACAATGCATAAGCAGTACCCTTGGTTCTCCATGATTCCCTTTTTCATAATTTATGTTAATTGAGAGCTGATTTGATGAGATAACCGTCTGTCAGTGACCTTGCAGGGAGGTATAATCCCTCCTGGCCAAAATAGTGCAGACAGGGTTAAACAAATATCTAGAAAGTGATATTCGAACCATGATTTCTCATCTTCTACAGAAATGTATGTAGAACAATCACAACCAAATGGATGGCAGCAATTTTAGACTACAGTTGGTAGAAATTAGCGATTTATCGGCAAAAGAATTCCTGCAATATAGCGATCTCAAAATTCGATGTAGGATTGGAATGCACTCCAATAAGAAAAAGTCAATGAGTTGATAAAAATAATGAATCCTTAACTCGTGCTCGAGAACCCCCCCCCCCCCCAAATTCAAAGGTATTATGATGTTATAAATTATTGCAAAGGAAAATTATCATACAATCCGTTGTCATCACGTTTTACAACAAAAAAGGTGATGGCATCTTCTCTCAAAATAAAGATTTCCTGAATCTCATTGGTAACTTAATATTTTTTTGTGGTCAATATTTTCAAAATTTCGCACCTGATTACGAGGAAAATGTTGTCAGTAGGTCATTTTATGTTGGTGTTCATTGGCGGTATCACTTTTTCAAAATCTTCAATACCGATCTTCTGAGGTTATGCGCGAACTATATGGTCACATATTCCATGCTCTTTCAAAAGCACCCGAGTTTGTTATGATGCTTCCATTATTAATCAAGCTCGGCGATAAGACGTCAGTTAGAAATTTAGGTCCATCTTCCTATTCTCGACAGCATGTAGGCCTAAAGCCTTGTTCAGATATGACGCGGTAAACCGTTTCGGTAAACCGTTTCGGTAAACCGTTTCGGTAAACCGCTTCGGTAAACCGCGGTGGTAGACCGCGGCGGTTTTGTTTTCTTTTATTATTACAGTGAGTTTAGTGTAATACGTTTCACTCTCCTGTATTTGTCATTGTCATTGCACTATGTATAGGCCTCACAAAAAACTTTAATAAACGCCGCGGTTTACCGCTTCATTTCTGAACGAACCTTAAAACATGATACAGTCAAACCTGTCTATAGCGACCGCCCAAGGGAAACACAAAAAGTGGTCTTTATAGACAGGTTCCTTTTACATGTTTCAATGAGAAACATTTTCAAGGGAAACGAACAATGTGGTCTCATATTTGTAGGCAGGTGGTCTTTGTAGACAGGTGGTCACTAAAGCAGGTTTGACTATACTTTAAATGTGTTCTACTTATCTTGGTGCCAGGACAAGCTTGTCAATACTAAATTGGTTTTGAATTCAAACTAAAATAAGTCATAAGTTATATCAAAACGATGTATCAGATAACTGCGATGTATTTAATTTTTTAGCATCTACAACGCAAAGCAATGTTTTTACTATAATCGATGGTTATCTCATGTATGCCTTTTACTTTCTAGAATTTTATTTCATTTGATCTTACTTTGAATTCGTTTATACAATCAATATGGGGTTGAAAGGAGTTTAAGCCATTCAATTTCAGCAGGCACGTAGCTAGAGTTTGATGTTTGTGGGGCACATACATGTAATCGATCGACGTCATGGGGAGGGGTCTAAAACAGTTCAATCGATCCTGGAATTTTTTTTTTTTGGGGGGGGGGGGGCACTTGCCCCCCCCCCCGTGGCTACGTGCCTGAATTCCAGGTGAAGGACGGATAGGTGGGTGAGGGGTAGGAGTAAGCTGTGTGTCTTAATTTAGCAAACACTTATTGCTTCGATTCTGACAGCATTAGAATTACATAGGAAAAAAAATAATGAAATTGAATCAAAGAAATAATCTTTCTGTTTTTAGAATGGAGTTTCATTACGGAAAGTGTGTTGCATTTATGACTGAGAAATATGATTGATATTATTTTGTTCATAATAACGTTAATTATTTATAAGATGAAATTATTTTGTTTGCATATCATGTATGAAGAAAAAAAATTAAAGATATGATTGACGTTCTCATTCTCCTTAATTTTTCTGTTTACATGTTCATTATATATTTGACTTCCTGTCATGTCATATTATCGTATATGTTATTGTACATGGAGTTATACTGAATGTGTCTGCATGTTTTTAAATAGGCCTACATGTACATATTATTTAAGTTGTGAGTAGTTCAGCCATCGGCTTCCATTTCAATAAACCATGAATTAATAATATAAAAATAAAGTAAATTAAAAAGTTTTGCAGTTATTTCAGGATAAAACAATCATTACAAATAAAATTCGGGACTTTCTTTCATTTGTCACTCATGAAGGGTTCTAGGACAATTGGCCCCTGGGTAATCGCCCCCCCCCCCCCAGGACAATTTTCCCCGGAAAATTAACCGCGGAGAATTACCCCCGAGGACAACCCCCCCCCCCCCCCGAGGAAAATTATCCCCCGTGGAAAATCAAAATTTAATAGCAAAAATCGATCTGACACATTGAGAGATGGCTACGAGCCCATGAAATCCCATACTCATTCTGTACTTTACTCGATGGAAGAACTACGGAAGAATTCGGGAACCTCAACCCTCCCTATCACAGACTGTAATGAACTTCATAAATAACTAAGAAAATGAACATATATGAAATTTTCTGTAAAAAGCAATTTGGAAAGATGCTCGCATTATACGTCACAGTGATGCAAATTCCTCGGGATGATTGTCCTCGGGGGTAGTTGTCATCGGGGGTAATTCTCCTCGGGGGATAATTGCACTCGGGGGGGGGGGGGGGATTGTCCTCGGAGGGTAATTTACCCCCCCCCCCCCTCTTTGGGGATATATTGATTAATTGATTGATTTATGGTCGGTTTTGTTGGTTGATTGATTGATTGATTGGGCAAATGATATATTGGTAAGTTGATTGACTAATTGATTGGTTGACTGACTGATTGATAAGTCGATTGGCTATTATTTGATTGATTAATTGATTGATTGAGTTGCGGTTGATTTTCATTGATTGGTTAATTGACTGATGCAATGGTTGATTTAATTGAACTAATGAAAACAAATTGCACGATATGTCTTGATTGATTAATGGATAAATTGATTGATAGTTTGATTCATGTTATTCGTCAAATATAATGCAAATTTAAATCATGGCCAATATACAAGACAAAGATTAAATGGCAATTACGATTAATGGAAGCATAAGCATCGATCGTGTTCAACGAGTAAAATTTACCTATTGGTTCTTAAAGATAAATTTTAGTACTGGTAATGCGATTGCATTGTGAAAGAAAAGGTGTGGAAAGGATCAGAAACAGTTGATCATGTAGCATACAAGTATTGGTGTGCACTGCAAGGTTCTGGAGTCATCAAAATCATAATAAATTTGACCGAGTCTTGGTAAAGTAACATGCACTCACATAGAAAGCTATATATGGGACAACACACATGGTGTCGGGGCTAGTACTACCTTGATTTCCTTATCTTTCTATGCTCATTACTCAGCCAGTATACATTTTCTTCCAAAATTGTTTGGCACATGTCATTTATTTGTAATCTTGAACATTCAGTGTAAGTTTCGTTTGATTCTGTGAGATTTTTTTTTTTTTTTTTACCAGTACTGGAGTTTATCTTCAAATATAACATACCGCCTCCTATAACGCCCCTTAAGAACATAGGTCTATAAGTAATGATCAAATACATAAATAAATAAATAAAAAGTCTAAAGTACGTGCGCAGTCATGCATATATGTTCGGCTATTAAACCGAGGTCAGTCATGCAGTAAGTACCCTGGGCTAGACTCGAGGGATGTGTGTATTCATATACTTCACAGAGCATGCTAAGATCAGGAGTAACGTGGGTCCGTGAGTTCGTGAGTAGCATTTAAATTTAACCTTAAATATAGTCTAAGATTTGAAGTTTCTTTGCCAGAATATAGATATTTTCTGTAAGGCCAGATTCACAGTTTTCAATTACGTAATTAGGACACACGACAGTCAAGTGCATGTGGGCTTCACACGTACCTCATCGCCATTTATTGCTTGTCTATCCGGAGTGAGTATATATAGTTGTACTCCTGACCATGTATTACCGTGTCAATACACATTACCAGTCTGTTTATTTGTCATTTTACTCCACGTATTTAGGTCCTACTTTTGTCAATACACACATGTACAATGGACGTATCCGTCATGAAAGGTCAATGATTTGTGGTCGTAGTGTGCTTGCATGTAAATTATGGACACACTAACAAACGGAGGAGCTATGAGGCGGGAGAGAGACTGATCGAGAAAGAGAGAGAGAGAGAGAGAGTGAGAGAGAGAGAGAAAGAGAGAGAGAGAGAGAGAGAGAGAGTGAGAGAGGGAGAGAGAGAGTGAGAAAGAGGGGGAGGATCGAGTTAACAGTCACATGCATATTTGCGTATTTGGATTGCGTATTGATGCGTATTTATGGCAAGCCGTTTTAACATTGATTTATTCTTATTTCATGATATCAAATCTACCATTGCTTTACAACAGAAAATTATTTCTTGATATCAAGAAATAAGAATAAATGTTAAAACGGTTTGTCATAAATACGCCTCAATACGCAAGCCAAATGCGCAAAGGTGTGACTGAGCATAGACGTAGGGACTGAGGCATTACGCCCACCTCCCCTCTTTCTCACTCTCTCTCTCTCTCTCTCACTCTCTTTCTCTCTCTCTCTCTCTATCACTCTCTCTCTCTCTCCCGCCTCACCCTACGCATTAAATACGCAAAGGTGTGACTGAGGTCTGAGGCATGAGAGGGTCCATAAACGATCCAATGAGTTAAATGGAACATGTTCATGGGATGACATGGAAAAGGGCACTGTTTTTTTTCTCATTTTCTAGGTCCACCTAGTTTGCCCCACCTATTGGTGCTCTAGGGCAATAGGCAATTTTCGTAATGCAATCAAATTTAATGCATGAGTCTTTGTGAAGTGCCTCAATACAAATTATTTCATTAACCTGATAAGAATAATAGTATTTCAATAGTCAGAATGCAAACTGCATATATTAAATGTTGTTAGGTAGGTCAAGCCATAATGTTTATCCAACCTGGCAACAACCAATGTATGCAGTGCGGATTCTGACTATTGAAATACTATTATTCTTATCCGGTGAATGAAATGATTTTTATTGAGGCACTTCACAAAGACTCATGCATTAAATTCGATTACATTACGAAAATGGCCTATTGTTGGTGCTGAATTTGAATATGAATGTCGCAACTTGTGAAAATTGACCATTTCACGATAATGAGGCAAATTAACATTTGTATATTGTCATTTTATAACGATCTATGTATCATCCTTCACGCCAAACTTTCATTGATGATTATGTAATGTCCCAATGCTAGATGACAAACAGCCTGATTATTAAAAAAAAAAAAAAAATCAATTTGTGCCATTACTTTGGTCATTTTTATGCAAATTTATGTAACATTATTTATTGAACAAAAAAGTAGCTATTAATGTCGAGAACCATTGATATTGTTCAATTTTCGATGCACATCTCCGAAACATACAGGACTTAATTTTATGCACATTTATGCTAAAAGCAATGTTTTTTTAATGATTAATCAAAACTTATGTAAATTTATGTTATCAAGAGTATGAACCTTTTTTGTGTGTGTAATTGGGTAAATTTTGGTGCTGTGTTTAGTGAATGTTGCCATAAAAGTTTAATGTTTTTACGAAAATGAGGCTTAATTACACACATTTATACAAATCTAATATATTGTTATTTTACATGAAACAAATAATATTATATTATTTGTTTCATGTAACATACTAAAGAGAGGTATATAATATACCTCTCTTTAGTATGTTGAATAAATCTTGTCATCTGATTGGTCGAAATTGGAGTTGTGATTTTAACCACACCCGCCTATTAAACGGTCAATAGTTAATATGCAAAGATGCTCGTTGCCCCGGATAACGGGCCGCATAAATAAGATCCCCATTGGTTCTTTACTCAAAAAAAGGATAAGGTAAGAATTCTCCATAGTTTTGTTTGTGAATTCGGTTTATAAAAGATATTTGGACTGCTTAATTCGAAGCATAGCTGTTTCTATACTGGCTCTCGGGGACGCCCTAGCGCCTCAGGGTCATAGCAGGATGTAACGTCCCCTTGAGCCTATATAAACAGTGATGCCTCTCATAGCAGTCAATATATCTATAATATCACCTTCCTATTTCAACCCTTTCTGATCGATTCCGCAACGTTTCTTTCACAATGCAATCGCATGACTAGAACTCAACTTTATCTTTAAAATTGTTTCCCAAAATAAGTGAATTGTTAACAATAATGTAAATAGGTTTGTTCTATTTCGCAATTGTTTCATTTTGCAAAAAATAGGGTATGTAGCAGATCGTCGCAGAGTGTGCAATTTGCAGAGCTCGAGCCCATAGGAAGCGCATTTTTTTGACGGAAGGAGATCTCTTCAAGTCAACCTTCTACTTCCTGTGCATGCATGGATTCAACGTGAGTTCTAGCTAAATTTACTGACCTAATAGGCTAATTGTCAAGAGAAAATTTCATTGAAAAATAATTCATGATCTGACACATATTACATGTATAGGTATATATATATACTTATGAGTAGAATACTTGATGCACCTGAAATGGGTTCTGTAGACAAAGTTTTGAGTTACTCTTTATATTCTTTGTACTCCTTTTTTTAATGTGATAATTTCATTTTAATCCCAATATGTATTGTCATTTATATTAATCTGTATTTCTTGAAAGAATTATTTTCAACTCTTTTCGCTTTTCAGAGAGGGCGTGCTTGTAAAGGTGGCAGAGGCCCACTCATTTATTGAAAGATGTATGGTTGCCAGGGGAACAAACCCCACCCACGCTTCTCTGCTGGCTGAGCTATTGGTATCAGCTGACAGTAGAGGGCACTTTAGTCATGGGCTGAATCGTATCGGTAAGAAGGATGAGTAATTCATACAATATCCTTAAAATGTCACTTTGGTAACAATCCTCTTGAAAATATTTTATCTAAATGCCCATGATGACTTTTTCCGCTGTTGATGATTACGATTCCCTTTCTGCGGCTCTTTGTTAAAAACCAAGACATATGTGACTGCGTCCCCTATATGCCTCCGTCCCAAACTCACATCTCCCTGTGCCAGAGGCCTTTACAGGTAATACTATAATAATAATGATATTTCATATTTATATAGCGCACATATCCACCATGCATGATGCTCAAGGCGCTTTAACTATTACCCCGGCTCTGCTAGGCAGCCGATTTCGGCGCTCACAGCATTCAAGGAATTCTTTCCTACCGCTACCCATTAAACACCTGGGTGGAGAGTGGCAAATATAGATTAATATCTTGCCAAAGGACATTAGTGTCGTGGAGGGACTCGAACCGCGGACCCTGTGATACACAGTCCAACGTTATTCTCTTATTCCTGTCATCAATCCGTAGATGTATACCTTGAGAACGTTGAACATGGCGTGACCGCAGGAGACGGTGAACCGGTCATCATAAAAGAGATGGCAGGAACAGCCTGGGTGGATGGGAGGAACCTACTTGGTCCTGTCGTGGGGCAGTTCTGTACGGACTTGGTCATCGAGAAGGCGAAACAGGCTGGTATAGGATGGGTTGTAGCAAAAGGTAAGGGCGAGATTTGAAATGGATGCAAAGAAATGACCTGGTAAAGACACCTGAAAACTCAACTTAGTTAAAGACTCGCTCAGATTAAAAAAAACTCGGTTAAGTCAAAATGAGTGAGACAATAAACTTGACACTTAGTCTCGTTCATTATCCTATTTTGACTTAACGTGCATGCAGTGCACCTTTACTAATACTCTTGTTAGCATTTATTATTCGTAATATATATATCTTTGAGTGAGTATAGGCCTACATAATGATACGTATATCTGCGTAGTGATGCGTTGTGTTGTTGTTTTCACTTCTTTATTTCAAAGAAAAGTATAGCAATACACAACTTTGCACGAGTACAATCACTTATCATTTTCTTGAACCTATTCAGGTTTTAAAAAATAATTATGTATTTTTTTAGCAGATGTTTCTGTATTTATTGACAAATCAAATACAAAATATTTAACAAGTAATAACAAAACGTTACAGGTCCTAACCATTATGGTATAGCAGTGTTATTAGAAATCATTGCACCATAATATATTCTGATTTCAGTTGGTATTAATTTGCTTATGTGACAGGTTCTAACCATTACGGTATTTAGTTGGTGGTATTCATTTGCTTAAGTTACAGGTTGTAAACGTGATGGTATTCAGTTGGTGGTGTTGGTTTGTTTTACGTTATAGGTTATAACCATTATGAAATAGCAGTGCTATTATAAATCATTACACTAGAATTTATTCTGATTTTAGTTGGTGGTATTAATTTGCTTATGTTACAGGTTCTAAACGTTACAGTATTTAGTTGGTGGTATTAATTTGCTTAGTAAGTTGCAGGTTGTAAACGTTACGGTATTCTGTTGGTGGTCTTGATTTGCTTACGTTACAGGTTCTAACCATTACGGAATAGCAGGTTGGTACTCCATGAGGATTAAAGATACGGGTATGATCGGACTAAGCTTCACCAACACATCTCCCTGTGTCTATCCTACCAGATCTAAACAAGTAGGTTCTCAATCTGTCCTTGCAGCTCACTGACTCATTTTCATTTCAAGTCATTTCTTCTTTATTTTTTAAACCATCATTGAAAAATATATTACAAGTATAAATATAACATATATAAATATACATCTGGGCCATGTCTTACAAAGAGTTGCGATTGATCCAAATCAACCACAAGTCTTCCAATCAATCGCACGTTTGCAGTATCCCATCTCTTATGTACATAGTTGCGATTGATATCGATCTCAAATAAGTTACGATCGACATCAACTCTTTGTAAGACAGGGCCTTGGTGGTACAGAAAGTGAACAGTTGATAAAACAATAAAGTAATACATACAAATATTAGTAAAATAAAAATTGGGTATAAATGAAATTGTGTTCTACATAGAAATGGTTTGCGAGGCATACCTAAAAGGGTCTGAAGCCTGAAGTCTGAAGTCACATAAATAGTTCATATACTCTAAAGGTTACCAAACTTGATAAGCATGATAAGTCTTTGTACATATCATAATAGTTTTTATTTTTTTATTTATTTTTTAAATTGCAGAGAACACTTCTTACATTTAGGACACATCTCATTAGATCATCCGATTGACCCTGTGTTGAATTCTTTTAGACGTATAGGTCAAGCAAATAGATCAATTATTTTCACATGTTGAAACCCCTTCTCTATCCAGATCATCACTGGCACAAATCCCATTGCTTGCAGCGCACCTGCTAATAACGGGGATAGTTTTGACTTAGATATGGCTACGACTACAGTGGCATATGGTAAGGTAGGTATCAGACGTCACTTCCATTTACCTTCTTTCCTCACTTTATCTCTCCCCTCTCAACCTCTCTACTCGTTCCCATTCTTCCTGTTTTTATATCCCTCCTGCTTTTCACATTTCAAACCTCCTTTCTCTGTCCACTAGCTATCCTTTTCTCTTCTGAAATTGATCTTAGATAGTACATCTGTAGAAGTATAATGTAATTCCTTTATCATGTTAAACGTTTCGTATAAACATTTAACTACTAATTTATTCCTTCCCCTTGTAAATGTTTATTTTGTGGGTATATAACTCAAGAAAGAAAACTGAACTGGTTGAATTAGATCCTTTGTAGAATACTTTTTTTTTTTTTTTAGATGTATAGGCCAAGCAAATTGATGAAGTCTCTGTCTCAGGTGTCCTGGTGTCCACACACCAGATCCCTTTTTACTTCTTATCCCATCCCTCTATACATTAAGCCTTCTTCTTCATAATGTTATATGATCTGTGATCTATCGTGGACGAGTGGATACGTCGCCAGACTGTCGATCACAAGGTTCGCGGTTCGAATCCCGTCGCGGCACTAATGTCATTTGGCAAGACATTGATCTACATTATTTTGCCACACTCCACCCAGGTGAAGTAAATTGTGACCGGTAGGAAGGAATTCCTTGAATGCGAGCACCGAAATCGGTAGCCTAGCAGAGCCGGGGTAATATTGGAGCGCTTTGAGCACCTTGCAGGGTGGATATGTGCGCCATATAAATATCCAATATTATTATTATTAAAGTCTGACACCATCCAAATTCTCGGTCTTCGTCTTCCCCGTCTTCCCTTCCAAGATGTCACTGAACATTTATCCCCCATAAGATGTCTTCTATCCAGTTTTTATTCCATCTTTAGATCGCTTTTCTCAAGTCCTTATGTTATGTCTCAGTAAATTCCATGTTATCACAATTAACCCTAAAACAGAAAATCATGTTCAATTTGTACCAATTAAATTATTTCAATGCACAGGTTGAAATATGTCATCTCAAAGGACAAACTTTACCCAGTGGATGGGGCAGTAATTCAGATGGAAAGGTATCTATATAAATGTATATATGTATTATAATTATAGTTGTCAGTGCTGTTGTTGTATAGTTATGAAGACAAAGTTGTAGGACATAGGCAGGGAATCATAAGCCAAAAGACTAGAGACGGCTGAAGAGTAATAAGTTGGAAATCATTAAAAAAGATAGATTTGAAATTTGGAATCAATTCCATTTGATTGAAGTTGTCTGCCCTAAAATAAAGTTACTTTACCTCGTTTGTGATTCAAATGAATAAATTAACCATTATTGTTCGTTGACTATTTATGTAGCGCATTTACAATGCCACAGGTCAGTGTATCTGCCTTTGAAATACCACTTTAAATTGGTTTTACTTTTTAAGCATCAAATCAAGAATAATGTTAACACTACTTTTATAACAGTTATATTTTCCCCTCGTGATCATATTCACCTTCAGCGGTATTCAGCGCTAAACATTTAGAGAAAAATATATCTCCTTGAGAAAATATAACTGTTCGGCAGTCCAAAGAAATTTCAAGAATGTTGTATTACACACCCTTCCCGTCAACATCTGGGGCCCGTTCCCGGGGCCCGTTTCATAAAACTTTTTATCAATAACAAATGCTAAATTTCTATGACAAATTTGCTCTCAGCCAATCAGATGCCATCATTTCAGTAGCTTACAACAGTAGCTTGTAACTTGTTATTGATATCATGTTTTATGAAACAGGGTCCTGGGGCCCATTTCATAAAACTTTTTATCTATACAAAATTCTAAATTTCTATGAAAAATTTGCTCTCAGTCAATCAGATGCCATGATTTCAGTAGCTTATAACAGTAGCTTGTAACTTGTTACTGATATCAAGTTTGCTCTCAGCCAATCAGATGCCATGATTTCAGTAGCTTATAACAGTAGCTTGTAACTTGTTATTAATATCAAGTTTGCTCTCAGCCAATCAGATGCCATGATTTCAGTAGCTTATAACAGTAGCTTGTAACTTGTTATTGATATCAAGTTTGCTCTCAGCCAATCAGAAGCCATGATTTCAGTAGCTTATAACAGTAGCTTGTAACTTGTTATTGATATCAAGTTTTACGAAACAGGGTCCTGTATCCAGCTGATCAAGGGCCAATGAATTTTTCACACAGGAGACGAGTGATCCAAAAGAAGTACTTAACGGCGGGGGCCTACAACCCCTTGGTGGAGGGGAGACTACAGGTGGATACAAAGGAACCGGTCTGGCTCTGATGGTGGAGGTGATAACTGGTATACTGGGCGGGGCACACTTTGGTACCAACATCAGAAAATGGAGCGCCGGTGAAAGAGAAGCTGACTTGGTGAGTGTATCGGTACTCCGTGTTTAAAACCAAGATGGTAGTCAGTTTCCATCTGTAGAAGATCATACTTCACTGACACCAGACTTGACGAAAATACCATCCATGGGTGTACAAGTCTCGCACACAGGAAATCCATGGTCCCACCGGGGATAACCCTTAGTCTCTTTGAGAGTCTGTGGGTGACAGAAATGTAGGATAATGACTTATGTGGTGATTGTTGGAAAATGCAGAGCTTTTAATTACATAAGGCCTGTTGGTCATAGAACTCGTGCTAATCCTGGTGATTGACAACACCTGATATTTGGTAAACACCCGAATGATGTCGAATTCCCTACTGGATAAAGTGATAGCAGGCCATCGTAATTAGTAGGCCCCCATGCATGTTGTAAGAAAGGTTACCATTACCATTACCATTACCATTACCATTACCATTACCATTACCATTACCATTAATCATTAATCATTACCATTACTTTTTTTTTTCCATTTTCTTTTCATGGCCAGGGTCAATGTTTTGTGGCACTAAACCCAGAAGCCTTCGCCCCTGGATTTTCAGAAAGGATGACGTCATTAATAGCCATGTGCAGAAATGCCGAACCGGTGAGTATTGAAAAGTCAATCTGCCGCTTCAAACACTATGATGAGAATGCTTTTCTGAAGATGCAAATATTTAGTTTACCGATTTCATGCCTGAATTCAGGATATAGAGTTCATTTTAAATCAAATTTCGAGGATATGGCTTTTAATTCTTTAATCCCCCCCCCCCACACACACACACACAATGCGCTGCAACCGCTTTTAATCTTAAATTGTCGTACTTTGCATTGCTTTTTTTCTTTTTTTAAGTCATACGCACATTTTGATACCATTTTCGTTGAAAGTAACAATTAGTATGCGCATGTTATTAAAAAGTGTTATACAAATTGCATATATATGCATGCACAGGCAGAAATGTGAATACAAGGTTTAGATGTATTTCTCCGTAAGTGGGAGATATGAATTGATATCCAATTGTTTTGATATGTTTCTTAAAGTAACTTGATGTATCCTAGAACAAAAAAATACATTAGAAATCAAACAATAGATATAATAAGAAATACAAAACAATAAAATACATAAGAAAATAAAATGATGATTTTTTTTTTGTGTGGATATAAGCAGTGATATGCAGATGGGTAGTGGAGAAATATTAATCTATAGTGATAAAGTAGTTGAGATTATTGTTTTTGGCTTTAGCACAGTGCAAAATTAGTGGATATTTAGACAGGGGTATTGATTTTGCCTTAAGTTGATCTTTTCGATAGATTTTGCGATCGTACTTATTCTCAAATTCCTCAACAGGCAAATGGGGAAACGGAAGTACTAGTTGCAGGAGATCGTGCAAGACACCATATGGAGAAAGTTGCTCGAGAGGGGGGCATCAAGTATCATCGGAATCTAATAACCAAATTGGTGAGTAATGACCTTATGGAAGCATCGGTGGTATATTTGTGAAGGGTTTCGACTCTCATGCGAGAAGTCCTGGGTTCGATATTTGCTTGGTGCTTACATTCTTGGACAAGGTGTTTTGCCCATATTTGCCACTCTCCATCCAGGTGCATGAAATGAAACCTGTCCATGATGCGGTAATGCTAATTGTCAGGCTTTCACGAAGTGTAGTGTTTGATGGTAGTATGACTAAAGTGACTACCCAGGATAAATAAGACTCACAAAAAATAGATAAAAATATCAATCAATAGAAAAATAGGCCTTCAGGTTATTGAAGAATCTTTCTTTTTATTTCTGTCGATAAAAAAGCCGGATACTCACAATACTGTGCTTACATTTTAAAATATTTTTTTCAAGCGGAATATTCATCAAATTAAAGTTTTATCTTACTTAAAATTCAAAATTGAACTACTTATACCTCAGTCAAATCGCCAAAGCGACTCCACCGTGAACCAACGCCATGCCATTTGAAGTAATGTAATTAGTGCTTCTGTCTGCAGTTGGTGCGGTGTCGGTATCTTTGATGTGGAGGTGTCGTGGTACAGTGGTTCAATAGGGACTTTTAGATTTACACGACGTGAACGTGGACCGCCACGTGTGACATCCTTTCAAGGTAATGTGACGTCCTTTTAAGGCACTGCCGGGCACGGCCCAGTGCCTTAACGCAATGTCACACGCGGCAGTCCACGCTCTCGTCGTGTAAATCTAAAAGTCCCTATTCACTTGAGTGTCAACCCTAGGGATGAGGGTTCGAATCCAAGCCCGGTACCAATCCTCTTTGGCAAAACATCACTCCACATTTGCATATGCATTTGTAAATGGGTATTTACACGTAGCAATTGTTAGGTTAATAAATAAGTGCAGTTCCCTCAGGAAGAATAGCATTGATGTTGATGAGGCTTGTTCTCATTATATTACCATTATTATTACCATCATTATAATCATCATTATTTTCATTATCATTAGTATTATTATTATCATTGTTATACTTTTTCTTATCATTAATATTTGTATTACTATTACTATGATTGACTGGAGATGCGAAGGTCGGGGGTTCGAATCCCGACACTGCACTAATATCCTTCGGCAAGATATTTACCTGCATGCACTTGCTACTCTCCACCCAGGTGTTTAATGGGTACCCGGTAGGATGCGAAAGTTCATATGATTGGACGCAAGTGTGCGTTTTTAAAATGGCGACTGGCTGGAATGCTCCCCAGGGAGTGGAAAATGTGCATACATTGTGTGCGGGTAAGCCTGAATCCGATGACCGGGGTAATAATAATAGCGCTCAGGCACATCGTTGGATCGATGTATTGAGCTCTACATAAACACGGAATATTATTATTGTTATTACTATTATTATTATAATTAGGATTTTTATCATATTATTTAATTATTCATTATTATTTGTTTAATTCATTTTATAATCATCTTTATTATTTCCAGGATGTTCTTGCAGCCAGATTGGAGGTGGATCCAATAAGACGCGAGACGACACGATGAGAGCACTAGGAACAGAAGTGTTTTATTCACCACCACCGCTACCAGTGCATTAATTCAAAAAGCGACAACAACCCTTTATGAATGTTGTTTTCGATCATCATTTTGTAAATAAAAGGACCCTATCACGAGCATTTCGCTTTTAAGAGTAACTCTAACCCGCAATTTTATATTTTGATATTATTACTGTTAATTTACACGTTTGTTCAAATTGGTTTAAATGGAAAATAAATGAAATTGAATGGAATCTCTGTAAAGATTGTGTTAAACTTATTTCAAGAAGAGTTTGGTTTCAAAGTTCTGTAGTGTTGAATTAAGTTTCCTTCAGACATTATTTTGTTCCATGCGATAACACTTCATTATTCATTTATTTATTCATTCATTTATTTCTAATATTTATACAGGGTGGCACATATCACTAATTTGGTGGTCTTTCACAAGGTCCTGTTTGGTAAGAATAAAACAAATAACAGCAGCAAAAACATTATAGATAAATACACAAGCATACAAACAGTTATCATACATATTAATTGGTATCCTCATGATAACCGACATCTGCATGTGCTTCTGTCATTGACTGGTGTGGTCACGTTTCTATCATTTTGTGGATGTCCTCTATGCATAAATCAAAATATATATTTTGTTTACAATCAGTGAAGAAAGCAACATGGATGGATTGGCGTTACGATTTCTAGCTCCCCTGAACAACATCAGCTAGCGCCTACCCCAAACTTTGCAAACCTATTACCTGAATATTATTTCTTTTCAACTTTTCTACTTTTCAACTTCCCGCTTGACTTGAGATAGTTCCTTCCCACGAAAACCCCGGTAGGTAGCAATATCATGATATGCCCAAACACCGCCCCACCTCTTAACGCCCAACACCCCCTCAATTTTATATTCTCATTGCAGAACATGAGACTTCAGAGAGATAGGGAGAGAAAGAGAGAGAGAGATGAGAGAGAGAAAGAGATGAGGGAGAGAGAGAGAGAGAGAGAGAGAGAGAGAGAAAGAGATGAGGGAGAGAGAGAGAGAGAGAGAGAGAGAAAGAGATGAGGGAGAGAGAGAGAGAGAGAGAGAGAAAGAGAGAGAGAGAGAGGATAATGATGATGATGATGATGAGAGAGAGAGATAGATAGAGATAGTGGCAACACGTTGAGAGATTCAAAATTATTGTATTTTTTAAATTTAAAAGTTGCAAGTTGCATATTATTTCAACAATGCAGCATTAAAGAAAAAATATTATTGTTGCAAATCTGGAGAACAATGCGTAATCAGCCCCCAAAGTATATCCTCTCCTGGAAACAAATCTGATCAATTACATCAGGAAGCTGTCAAAACTCACCATAATGATAATAATAATAGCTAGTTATTATTATTATTATAATTTGTTCTTGAATCGATTGGGTGAGTGGTACTTACGCGGTATTATTTTATTTTACTTTTAGGCTCTGTATAAGCTTGGCTTGTTAGAGCTCTTGTGAGTAGTGTGCCGCGGGGTTTCATATCCTTAAACTGCTGGCGAACAGAGCAACAAGACCAAGCTCTGTAATTGTTAGGTTTCTCCAATGGTAGGTTTGTCCAATAATGCCGAGTTTGTGCCACGGAACTTAGTCGGACATTTCGATTATATTCTTTTTATGTCCTACGTCTTTATCTTCTTTTCTTTTTTTTAAAATATTTTTTTATAGTTTATAGTCTACCTTAATTGCTGATACCTCCTCAATATATATACGATAGACTATCATTAATTCTGCTGCATTACCATATAGCTTACTTAGAGGTTACTGCAGATCAAATCAATTGATTCATAATATATTATAATCAGTTATTCATTTTTTTTTTTTTTTTTTTTTAAATTTAAATTAGTTTGATATCGTAAGGTTATTCGATCTGCCCTTAATCTCCTTAATATTCTTGCACTTATTTCGAGAAAAAAAATCTTTGTTTCTCTACTATAATCAGTGTTTTTATCACAGCACTGAATAGATATAATCAATAAAGTAAGGTAATATTTTGTTGGTTCAATTAGTACTCTTGTCATAAGAGTAATTGTAACCGCCTCATTCTTTTGATAATTGTTAATTGGTTTTGCCATGCTTAGTTGTAACCACTGCCCTGTGGTTCAGGTTCTCTTTAGAATCTAACTAAGGCTAAGGGAGCAAACCCTAACAGAAAACCATGCCACCGTGACAGCATTGAGGGCGATTGACGATACGGAACTCCCGACATCCTTCGACCAGTCACTGCAGGGTCTAGTGGTTCACACCCGTCCTGGTTTGTCCTCGCCGGTGTGAAACTGCCACCAGTTCCCCGAGAGAGTGCCGGTAGTAACTTGCAAGAGCTACCGGTACTTATCCACCTTTGCAAGCAGCCTTCACTATGCGCAACAGTATGAAACTTCATACCGGTTCGGTCGTCTTCCGGGTTAACAAGGACCGCGCTGTTAGATCAGGACTTCCGTCGACAGTGCCAAGTATGCTAGGAAGTAAACAACAACAACAAAAAGATGACACCAGCGGAATTACTACAATGACGTTTGGACAGTGGAATGTCAGGACACTCCTCGATCGGGAAGGAACTGGCAGGCCAGAGAGAAGGACTGCCCTTGTAGCCATGGAGCTGGAGAAGTACAACATTGACATTGCTGCTCTGAGTGAAACACGTTTCTCCGAGTCAGGTAGGCTCGATGACATGGGCTACACATTCTTCTGGAGCGGCAAGCCGGACGGGGTACGACGAGAGGCTGGAGTGGGATTCGCCATCAGAAAAGAGATCTTAGCGAAGCTCACAGAAAAGCCTAAAGCGGTGAATGATAGGATTATGACAATGACAGTACCACTGATGAAGAAGGGAAATGCTACTCTCATCAGTGTATACGCACCAACCATGACGAGTCCGGATGAAACAAAGGAGAACTTCTACAATCAGCTTAGACGAACGTTGCGGGACACCCCCCGGACTGACAAGCTGATATTGATGGGAGACTTCAATGCCCGGGTAGGACGAGACTATGAGAAATGGCAGTCGGTGTTAGGCAGGCACGGAATCGGTAAATGCAACACCAATGGTGAGCTACTTCTAGCGCTGTGCTCTGAGTTCGAACTCCTACTGACAAACACCGTGTTCAAGCAGAGGGAAGAACACAAAACCACCTGGATGCACCCTCGCTCTAAGCATTCGCACCTGATTGATTACATCATAACAAGACAACGAGACAGAATGGATGTTCACAGCACAATAACTATGCGTGGAGCTAACTGCTTGACCGATCACCAGCTACTAAGATCAAAGATTGCATTTGCTTTACGTTCAAAGCGTAGGAAGCAAGGAGCTACTAAACTTGCAAAGCTGAACACAGACCGGCTACACGTCAACACACAACGGCTAAAGCTAGAGCAAGATATGGAGAAAGCTCTGGCGACTTGGGGAGTGCAAGAGGGAATGACAGTTGATCAGACCTGGGCATCACTCAGCAAAGTAGTATATGACACAGCGAGCAACACCCTCGGTAAACCAGAGCGAAAACACCAGGACTGGTTTGACCCAGAAGACTCCGAGCTTCTGATACTCATGAAGAAAAGGAATGAAACACACCAACGTGTATTACAGACTAGAAGCACCAGGTCAACCACCACCGCGTACAAGGAAGCCTGCAGACACTTGCAGAGGTACACACGGAAAATGAAAACCACCTGGTGGGAGAAAAAGGCAGAGGACCTGCAGCGCTCCGCAGACAATAATGACATGAAGTCCTTCTACACTGGACTGAAAGAAGTCTGGGGCCCCCAGACTAGGAGTACAGTTCATCTCAAGTCCCTGGACGGTAACACAACCTTTTCAGACAACAAAAGGGTGCTTGAACGATGGTCGCAGCATTTTGAGACACTACTCAACCAGCCAGGAGATATCGAGCCTGCAGCGCGTGATAGGATCAACCAGCGACCTGTAGTTACTGCACTCGATGATATTCCAACACGAAAAGAGCTAAACCTGGCAATTGCCTCCTTGGGTGATGGCAAGGCACCCGGAGTGGATGGGATACCAAGCGAGATATGGAAGCACGGAGGAGCCACACTAACCAGCAGTTTACTAATGCTGATACAACAAGCATGGGCAGAAGGCTCCGTACCTCAGGATTGGAAGGATGCTAATATTGTCGCCATCTTCAAAAAAGGAGATAGAACTCAATGTGGAAACTACAGAGGAATATCGCTATTGTCAATAGCAGGGAAAGTTTTTGCCAGGATCCTTCTGAACAGATTGAATACCCACATAGCACCAGATATATTGCCGGAGACGCAATGCGGATTTAGGAACAACCGCAGCACAGTAGATATGATCTTCTGCCTCAGACAACTACAGGAGAAGTGCATTGAGCACAACCGATCCCTCTATGTGGTTTTTGTCGATTTCACGAAAGCCTTTGACACTGTTGGTAGGACAGGTCTTTGGGAACTACTACGAAAGTATGGATGTCCCGAGAAGTTCACCGGAATGGTAGAGTCCTTACATACGGGTATGATGGCTAAAGTCAAGGAAGCAGGCGAAACATCCCATAGCTTCCCTGTAAGTAACGGTGTAAAACAAGGATGTGTGTTGGCCCCTACGCTGTTCTCCATCTTTCTCTCGGCGATGCTGGAGGAGGCCTTTGCGGACTTTGAGGAAGGCGTTTACATACAATCACGTCAAGACGCCGACCTATTCAATGTCGCACACTTCAAAGCTAAGACGAAGTCTACACAGATTCTCGTAAAGGGAACTCCTCTTTGCAGATGACAGTGCTCTTGTTTCTCATACACCAGAGCAGATGCAACATGTTATAGATGTATTTTCATCAGCATCAAAGAAGTTCGGTCTACAAATAAACATCAAAAAGACTGAAGTACTATTCCAACCAGGTACAGACCACCGAGAGGAGGAGGAGATCCTAGTGGATGGGACAGCCCTAAACCAGGTAGATGACTTCACTTACCTCGGCAGCACTATATCCAAAGACGGACGCATCGACTCTGAGCTGGTGAAAAGAATGTCAAAGGCCAGCAGTGCCTTTGGAAGACTGCGAACCAGGCTATGGAACAACCATCATGTCTCAACAAGAGTGAAGTGCAAAATCTACAGGGCTATCGTCCTATCCACTCTCTTATACGGTGCGAAAAGCTGGACTCTCTACACAAGTCAAGTAAAGAAACTTCACGCGTTCATGATGAGACACCTTCGAGCAATCATGAGAATCAGTTGGAAGGACAAGGTGACCAACAAAGAGGTACTAGAGCGAGCAAACCTTCCTTCTATGGAGGACCTGCTCATCAGGAAGAACCTACGATGGACAGGCCATGTCATCAGGATGCCCTCTGAGAGGTTACCAAAGCAAGTACTATTCTCGCAACTACCCGCTGGCGAAAGAGGGATTGGTCGTCCACGGCTTCGCTACAAGGACACGATCAAGAGGAACCTTAAGCGGAGGCAAATTGAAACCAAGACTTGGACAACTGCTGCAGGCCAGCGAGCTGTATGGAGAACAGCTGTAAAGTGAAAATGAAGGCGGTCATTGTCGCTTCGCGACAGACAGCTACTACTATTATAAAGCGCTTTTCAGGACAAGGCCCTCTCAAAGCGCTTAACAGATTATATATAATTACACCGGTCATCGGATTCAGGCTCACCCGGACCGCAATGTATGCACATTTTCCACTCCCTGAGGAGCATTCCAGCCAGGCGTCATTTTTACAAGCGCACACTTGCTAATCTAAGCACATTAGCTTTCGCATCCTACCAGGTACCCATTTAACACCTGGGTGGAGAGTGGCAAATGTAGATCAATGTCTTGCCAAAGGACATTAGCGCCGCGGTGGGACTTGAACCGCGGACCTTACAGGATAATCCACAGTCCGGTGACATATCCACTCTTCCACGACACCTCTAACTATCATATTCATGTAAAAGGAGTTTTACTCACATCTTCAATAAATAACTCCATTATATATAGACAGCATTTTTATCATTGGAATGTGGAATTCTTCAGTAAAATTGAGTCGCGTAATGATTTGTTAATTAACAGCTTATCCCTTGTAATTGCCTAATGTTTAACTGAACGTGATTGGAGAGTGGAGACAGATGTGACATGTGGTGAAAAAGTAACTTTATGAATAAACAAACAAACAAAATTGGTTTTGATAGTTGTTTAACCTTTATTTTCTTTAGCTGCTCAATATCCGTGTTATAAAGGAGTAATACATTTTATGTATTATATAAAAACCATTATGAAACAAATTTGCGTCCTTGAGCGAATATATCGTAAGACTCTGACCATTGCTTTCTCTTTCATTCTCTCCCTCCCCCTTATCTCTCACTCTCTCTCTCTCTCTTTATTTCTTTCTATTTCTCTCTCTTTCTCTCTGCTCTCTCTTTCTTCCTCGCTCTATCTCTCCCTCTCCCCCTGTTTCTACACCAACCCCTCTCTCTCTCTATTTTTTATCTCTCCCTCTACCCCTATTTCTACATCACCATCTCTCTCTCTCTCTCTCTCTCATTCTTTTTTTTTCTCTCTCTCTCTCTCTCTCTCTCTCCCTTCCCTCCCCTCTCTCTCTCTCCCTCTCTCTCAATCTCGTTCTTGATCAATATGTCCATCACAGTACAGAGCTTGGAAAATATAACATCAATATGAATTACTATTATAACAAAACCTGAAAAAGTATGGGGTAAATGCTCTCTATAGCTTGGAAGGTCATTCAAAAGATGCAATTAAAGGCGCGTGTGCGGTATATTTCAATTCCATTCATTACGATTTGAAAAGGCTTTGATACTTGATAGGCTATTTGATATTTGCAAACTTAAGCTTCTCTATTCTACTTCCTTTCTTTTCTCTATCATAAGCATTTCAATGACATGTATTTATACAACTGTCACGCCATAAACTTATCCTCGAATGGGTAATCGCATTTACTCTTTGAAGGCTGGTAGAAATAAAAGAGATTCTCATTTGGATGTTTAATCATATTCCCACTGATCATGCCAAGTACGAATCCACGACAATGGCTTGTATAATTTGCCAATGACGTAGTCATAATATGCTGTCTATTAGCGGTTCTAGAGGGTGCTTGGGGGGAACTCACCCCCTCCCCTAACAAACTAAAAATAATCTACGCGAGGCACATGTAGTAAAATGACTGCAACGTCCCTAAGAACCGCGTCTGATGGTGTCACAGCGCAGTCCCCTATCAATCGCCTTTTGAAGGCCAAGAAGAAAAGTATGAACCGTGCTCACGGAACTCAGTTATATCCTAGCTCGTTTTGGAAGTGTCCACCCCCCCCTGCCGCCAATATCAATCACTGGATCCACCACATTTACTCTGCTGTCGTTTAGCAGCCATAACTGTAAACTCAGGTGCAAATCGCAGTTGTATTTTTCATCGTTCGTAAGACCCCAAAAGGGAGGATCTTTTGTAAGAGGTCGTGGATAAAACAGAACACTATAATATAAGACTTCTCGCCAATTGATCCCCTATGAGGATATTTATTGCTATATTTAAGGATATTTCAAAAACACTCAGTTTCTTCAAATATGAGGGCTGGTATTTGGGTAGAAGTAATTGATCGCATCTTTCTCCTTGTCGCTGGTATTCCCGGCAATCTCTGCATCATCATGGTGTACCGGAAGCGCAGGACTGGAGGGAGTACCCGTCTGTACATAATCGTCATGGCGGTCGTAGACTTTGCAATTTGCTTGTTGAGTCCCGCCATGATCTATCACAAGCTATCTCAAGGCCGATATACCAGTATTATCTTCTGCAAGATTTTTGTCTTCGGTTACATCTCGTTGTGGAATCTGTCTCTTCTCATAATGGTGGTGATCGCAATCGACCGCTACATCAAGGTTTGCCATTCCACTAGACCAAAGGCCAATCGTCGGAGAGCGAAAATTACCATTGCTTTCTGCATCGTGATTTCTTGTGCCTCAAACATTTCTTTTCTCTTTTTTCTTTCTTTACAACGACTGGCCACCGGTGAGGTGATTTGTTCGCAGAACTCCAATGGTCAGTTTCAAGGAATTATCACAGGTGTAATGTATTTAATGTCATTCGTTACTGCGTTCGTGACATATGGGATGATCTACAGAAGCGTGAAGATTCACACGAGGGTTCAGGCCAACCTGTTTGCTTCTCGCAGACCTGATCCGGTGTGTCCTATGGTGTTAGCCCGTGCGTCTCATGTGGCTCCATCTGCTAATGACATGACTGAGGCCAACACCAACCTTAGAACATCTAGGTACGGAGCTTCAACAGCAGTACCATCTGTATCCGGGTGTGTACATTTAGCTAATCGTCAACGTGCATTAGTCCAAGGACCAATTATAGGCCCAGCGGTGGCTGTACACAGACTAGCATGGTTGGACAACACTACCAGTAATGTGCCAAACAACAGCGCCCTCTTGCCCACTTCTCACTTGTCCAATGCTGGTATGGTGGATGAACCAGTGGCATCTGGCATTGTTTCATACAAGAAAACGCCACTCGATAAGACGACAAAGATGATGTTAGCAGTGACAGTTATTTACTTTCTCACTTGGCTCCCAGAGGCTCTGGCAAGTATGTTTCTTCGGGAAGTGATATCGAGCGCAATGGATAAACACATTGTTGCGGATATAGTCCTTTCTTTTCTTCGGGACTTGTTGTCCATTAACCACGTCATCAACCCAGTTGTCTATGGTCTCTTAAACAAAAGATTTCGACAGGACCTTTTTAAACTCTTCAAATTTTAATCTAATATGGAAGTATCTTGGTCTAGTGGACAAGTCATCGGACTATGAAACACGTCGTATGTGGTTCAAATCCCTGTCATGACACTGAGGTCCTTTGGCAACACAGTAATCTGCATTTGCCACTCTCAATCCAGGTGGAGAAAGTGGGTTCTCAGTAGGCATTTGTTTCTATAAATGCTAGAGCGCCATAATGGCAGCCATATTAAAACAGTGGAACGTCAGACATAAGCGCTATACAAGAACCCACTAGTATTGTTATTATCATTATTATTATCATCATCATTATCATCTTCATTATTTTTTCTTCATTTTCTGGATGAGACATATTATAGAGACATGAGACATGTATATATTTATTTGTTTCAATATATGTAAGCACCAACGGACATGCAGAGTTGATCATCAACCTGAAAAAAGTACGATTACTTTTTTCTTCTTGTTATTTCTTTCTTTCATTTACGTGTCCATTTAGGGGAATCTGGCACTCTAATGCAATATAGTAGAAAATATTGGTTAAATCAGTATTCCTATTATTTCTATCCGGTTGTGGTGTTTGAGATTAGTTCAATTTTTAAATCTTATAATGTTTTTTAATCGTGTAGTGTTATCTTCTTTAATTCTGTTTCATGCTTCTGTGTGGGCGTTAACATGCTACTGTGTTATTTATCAATTTTCAGTGACTTATTTCGTACATTTTTTCATGGGTAGAAGGGTATGCTTGTGCATAACCTTTTCGACTAATTTTGCTTCATATTACCTTTGCTGAACGTACCTTGAACACAACTTAGTATTATCTTTTCATCACTGACTTATATAGAAATCATTTAGTGTGAGTACGCGCGTGTGTGTGTTGATATGGGTGTGTGTTCCTAATTTCACCCCCAATGCACTTATATGTTTCAATGAATAAAGAATAACAATCAACTATGTAATCATTTCATGGTTTCATTATCATTATCAAATATTGGCGTCACTGTGTCTGAGAGGGGGTTTCTATCTCTCCTTCAAGTATAGCTGTTTGGGATATGCAGGTACATGTAGACCACTATACCGGGGTTCCCCCGACACTTATACGAACAGTGGAGTGGGTTCTTGACATGTAAAGGTAGTGACTCTCCTCTACACGGGTCCTACATTTAAATTCCTATCCGAGGGACTAGGTGTGTTCCACTGTAACCTAGTCTGCTTCTATGAAACAGGAAAGGGGCATATTAACACACAACGCAGGCTTCAGACATCCGCCTGGGTTGGATTCGAACCCACGATCATTGGTTCGACAGGCACGCTTTTACCGACTCATCTACCTTGCCTCCTTATAAATCATGCGTCTTTCTTTACATCAGATTCTCTTATCATTCTCAATCTCATTTCGGTAAAGCGAATCAAACAACGCGCCAACGAAGAGTTTTATTTCAAACCCTATGGTCCATATTTCGTCTCTTATTATTATTAGTCGATGTGCGTAAATGTCAAGTTTGCCGCTGATGAAATAATATTAGCTTGACGGACAAAAAAACCCCACTGGTCTGAAGTAGTATTGATAAGCATTCCTATAATTAATCAAAAGCATGCAATTGGCAAAATATGGCAAAATAAAGCGATCGATTGCGATGTGACATAAATTAGAGGTAAAGAAAAACAGACACCATTCCCTCCCCCGCATGCCCGGTAGAAAGAGAGACTTAGACACGGAAATTAAGAATTTAGACGTTAAAATGATAGGTTTACATTTATTTTCATCAATTTCCTCTTTTTTTTAAACACCAGAAACACATTTTATGAGATCGATTCGTGCATGTATCCATATTTCTTAAATGTATGTAACGATACGAAATGAGAAAGAGAGGTGATACATTTATCAACATTTTTAGCATGCGAAACCGATTAGCAAATATCTCCTTTCCACCGCCTGTAAACGTACTCACACATGCAAGCATCTAAATGTGTCAAACTTAGGCACTAATACTCCAACGAAGTCAGGAAGCAATTTGAACCAAGATGAATAAATGTACATAACTTGGTATTTGAATTTGAATTATAATTTATAGCAACATATATATCGATTGACAAGTGTTACACAAAAGACTGTGGTACGTGAACAAGGGGTACGTACCCCTCCCCCTTTCCTACTCGGTGCTCACACATTAAAAAAAATAACAATTTGTGTAAAACTAAACAAATGATAACAGAATTGTTACAATATACACTGAGGTTTTCCAGGGATCATGGATCTTCGAGTTTTCAAACGTTTCACCTAACACCCTAATTGAGACGATTGTGGACCAGCCTCTCAATTATTAGCAGTCTAATAAGTGCAACATATTTATTTCGATGTAATATTGCCCATAATTCGTCAACGGACGCTTCATCACAGATCTTCAGGTTCACATCAAAGCTCCTCGAAGGGTAAGATTCCGGCAAATTAATAATGCAATGGAAGTTTTTCAGTTGATATAAGTTTGTGCAAGTCATTAGCATCGTTTCACATTAAACTATAACAGGAGAACGACATCATTTATTGTGAATGATTATGCACAAATTGAGGAGGCGCGATAGGTCAGTCGGTAGAGCAGTGGTCTCGTAATCCGGTGACCCGGGTTCGAAACCAAGGCGATGCGCCAGTGCCCTTTGGTAAGGCATTAATCCTCATTAATCCTCATTTGTCCCTCGGAGAGGAACTAAAGCCGTCGGCCGTCTGGTTGCTTACTTACAAGCATTTTTCTTAGCAGTCAGGTAAAATAACAACCACCGCCAACCACCGCCAAGTCTGTGGACAAATTAGCTGATGCAGTTTCTGCATCATTTTGACATCCGGTACAATCTTATTATTTATTTTATTGTTAGGATACCTTATATCCTATCGCGAATGTGGTAGGTTTCTTGAAGAGTTTTACTGCTTTTTGTGATTTTGTTCCCCAAAGTTGTGATTGGATCGTAACATCGCTTAGTTTTATACTTATCATTACTCAATATTCCACCCAAAGTCCCATAGGTACCACGTCTTTATCTTCAATATGCGCGTCGCACTCAAGACATAATTTATTACCCCCTCTTACAATAACTCACGTGTCAATCATTGTGAGACCTATATGCCTGTATGTACGGCAACTTAAAAGTGCCGACGAGATGACGATATGAATAGAACAAGGAGATGAGATTACGAATTTTTGAACGCCTTACGAACGAAAATTCGCATGGCCTTCGAACGAACGACTCATGGCGTTCGTAATGCGTTCGTAAGGTGTAATTGTTTAGGACGAGAAAACGAGATGACGAGTTGTTGTTTAGTATTATCTTTTGGTGACGTATTATATGTAGGCCTTTATATGTTTTTTTGTTTAATATCCAGAATGCTCTGAATTACAAATCACAACCTGCCGACTTTCAGTAATCCACCATCTCGTCTTCTCGTCCTGAACATGCTAAATAAGTCGACTGGCTAAGTTCCAACAATCCGTTATGTCGCCTTCTCGACCTAAACAAGACGATTGGCCGAGTTCCATCAACTCGTCATCTCTTCTTTTCGTCTTACCTAAGTGAACTTGCCGATCATCTCGTCTTTTCGTCCCCTAAACATGCTAAACAACTCGACTTGCCGAGTTCCAACAACTCGTCATCTAGTTTTAAAATATCGAGTTGTCGAGTTCCAACAACCCGTCTTATCTTCCGAGACAAGTCGACTTGCCGAGTTCCGTCAATTTGTTTTTTAGTCTTTTAATTCGTTTCTCGTCTCTTTGTCTTAATTCATCTCGTCATCTCGCTGGCACTTTTAAGCTTCTGTAATTTATGTTTCCGTGCATGGTCGTACCGAAGATCACCATTATTGGTGATATTGAGTGACCCTTCCTAAATATCAGAAATAAATAAATAAATAAATCTACACTTAGGCCCATACGATTAGAATAATATTACGATGAATCGTTTTTATTGACGTTGGTGGCGGTTACCTGCTGGGTTTTAGTAGTAATGTTACGATTAACAGACACAGTACGTCTCCGTGACGACTCCTTGTTCCGTCGAGAGGTCATCGGACCGTACGGACCAGGATGAGTTTCCTTCTGCCTCGCACCGACGCTGGCGTGATAGCGTGCAAGGATGGCAAGTTTGTTGAGGACGATTTCGACAGCCAAGCAGATCTGATCGAGATGGTGTCTCGGGACGCCTCGGTGAACGGGAAGGTAGATGATATGGTCCATGATGAACGATGCCGTGGTCGGTCGACATCGGGTCTCGTCGATGCCGACTAGGGCCGTTGTCGCATGCGTATCGGTGGGACGTGTGGAGGTGACGAGCTCGATCTGAGCGAGGCTTCTCGCAGCACCAATACCTAGCCCATTGAGGCGCTGATACACTTCTTCGGGATTATCCTAAGAAAACGATGGTAAAAAAAAAGAATATCAGTGACTTATGCAAAGTGAGCAGCTTGACAAGAAGCAAAAGTATTTAACAAGTTATGTACAGAATTCAATGGTCTCGTAATCCGGCGACCCGGGTTCGAAACCAAGTCGATGCGCTAGTGCGCTTTGGTAAGGCATTCATCCTCATTACCAGGTCTCTCGGAGAGGCCCTAAGGCCGCCGGTCCTCTGGTTGCTTACTCACAAGCATAAATGCTTTCTTAGCAGTCAGGTAAAAACAAGAACTCCAAAAAACACAATTTTGTGTAATCAATGCTAAATAAAAAGAAGCTTCTTATTATAGGCCTAATGGCAATGGCTGGATCATGTTGATTAATTACCTTTTAGCTGATCTGTACATAGTTCAGTTTTGTGGAAAAAAATAGCGAGAAAGAAAAGTTGTCATGGAGGGACAAATAGTTTGACAAGAAACAATTGAGATATGTGTTATATTTACTATCAGGGATGATGTTATCATTAGCCAAAAAGACAACTAGGAACGAATGGCATAGGAAAAGAAGCAGAACTCACGACGAGGATGGGAAAGAGCCAGTAGCCGCGGATCAGAGCATAGGTGCCAATCTGGCCTGCTACCTGCGGGAGCCTATCCGATACGTAGTCCCCGACATCTCTAGATCTCTCCAGATCCTTCGGGTCAACGTGTTTCAATCTGATGATAGATAATTACAAGAAGGAAGTCACGTTACCAATAAGGTAGTTTACAGATACAATCTGCGCATGGGCAGATAAAGGTCATTTGTACCAAAAAGGTAAAACCCACAGAGATGAATACTGGATATGCGCTCATGAAAGTTATGTAACATTATTCATTTATGCACCAACGGTACATTCTATGATACGCAGGTGGAAGTATTGTTTTCAAGAGGTCAAACAAAAGGTATTCATGAAGCACATTAAGGACTTTGGCAGTTATTATTCTAATATGCTCAAAGTGGAACTTCTCCATGTGTAAAAGATCTGTGAATATTTGGGATCATTTGTACCATGTGCTATCTGTATAAAACTCCCTTATTTACTCAAGATGATGTGTACGGTTAATTAATAGACGTTGCATGCGTGTGACGTATGACGATACACAGTCACAATTGGTATCCACATTTCACTATGGCCCAAAATAGCATTCTGTCGCTATTGTCCCAGTACTATGGACAGATGGCGCTCATACACCAGATGTGCCATGCGTTGTGGCAATAGGATAATTTTGAAATAAATATTATCAGACAAAATGCTAAGAAGAGAATGTTGTCATTAGTTTGTCTCAATGAGCTACCAATGAGATCGATATATAAGAACTTTGCTAATAATGCTAAGTATGATGATTTTCCCTATTGCTTCAACACCCGTGGAGCTCATGTGTCCCTATATCGACCGTGCTCACAAAATGATGCCAAGTAGGGTCTTTAGTGGAAAAACAAATTTTCTCATGACTTTGTATTTCCTTGGGTCACAATACTGAAATTGATTAAAATTAAGCATTACATCTACATTTACTGAAAATTGAAGTGAATTGAGCCCAAAATATATTGTATATCAGAAAGGAACTGTTAAGAATATGTATCTTCACCTTCGATGTAGCATGAATGTCATTGTCGTCGAAGGTCTCTCACGAAGCTGACGCACTAGACCAGCCGCAGGGGGCGCTGTTAAATACGCATTGATGACCTCCTTGAGATTGATACGAACAAGCTTGGCCAACCCAGAGGATAGTTTCAATAAGAAAGGGCACTGTAGAGCCTTTGCAGTCAACGTGCATTTAAAAGCCTTGCGGATATACTCCACTTCAGATCCTTGAGGATACGTCTTCTGTAGTTCTTCCATTTTCTCTCGGAGATATTTGTCTTTGATCCTGGTGATAGATCCACCGAATGCAGTGCATGGGTAGATGACACCAAAGTTGAAGAATACAAGATCCGATTCTGGGTTTATGGAATGTGCTG